GTTCGATTTCTCTCAGCCGCCCGTCTTCATCACTGTTCCGTTAATCTTCTCGTTCTCTTCCACGGAAGATAGGATGATGGTGGCTATCCTTGGTATTTTCATTATCATTGAGACTTACAGCCTCTCCGCTCTTCGAGGGAGGGGCATCAACGACCCGAGGTTATCGGAGGAGACACCCGACCGGGCAACCGACTGCGGCGAGAGGACGGTTGCCCTTAATTGTCGGGTGATTATTCTGGATGATGGCGAAGCGTACGGGATTGGTACCAAATGAGTGCCATTGAGGCTGCGCCGAAAATGGCGGTTCCGATTACTTGTGCCTTCTCCCTGTCATGCGCCCCACGGGCGTTGGGGGTGAGCGACTGCAACCCTTCTGTGGCAACCTCAAGCGCCCCGGCGACGCGCCCACAGGCGCGGTATTCGATGGGACCATCGCATTATACGCCCGAGCCGTCGTAACTCTTTCAGAGTATGACTTGGCTCCGGCACTGCCTGTCGGCTCTCCAGACTTTAGTTCTTGAACGAGCGACCAAATGGGGTTGGGAAGGGATAGTAAAAGTACGGTATTCAGTAAGAGTCAGGAGGTAATAGCCTTGTAGAAGGCTCATGCACACGAAATTGAGAATGAGCCACGATGATCCGCCTTGTGAATATAAGTGAAGTAGAGCTTTATACCTGCTCAGTCACCATTGCTTACACAATTGATCCTTTTATCATCGTGTTCTGGTCGCTGGTAACGATCATCAAAACCAACCAGTGATGTTCGACGGGGTTCCGGGTAAGTTTCATATACTACTCCTCAGAGCCTTGTGATGAATCGGCGATACCGTATCGAGTATTACGCCATTCTTCGGCTCGAGGAGCAAAATTAATTGAATCAGATAGCGTAGGTAGCTGGTCGTTGACGTAGTGAAGACAGACTCTCGGTATCTCCTGCGCCTGGAGAGGGGTGCCCATTCCCACGTAAGTGTCCCAGAGGGAGATCCGGCTGATTGATCAAGTATTCAGAGAACCTCCTCCGCGACCATAGCTGAGGCCGCCCTCCGGGATCGATCAGGACTCCGTAGCTGAGTGTGGACGCGAGTAAATCTGACTGAAGCCATCCGCCTTTTCAGTTGGGCCTGCTGCGTTTGAGCTTTCTCTGCAGACATCAATTTCCAATTGTGATTATCCGAGTATGTCTGGCAGCGCACTTTCGGAGAATGGCAATGAGAAGAGGTAGCATCGAGCCTTTGTGGTAGATAAACTTGGCACCGTGATAGTGACGGACCGTACAAAGATTCTATTATAGAACATTGAAACGACTATAGTGAGAAACCGGGACTTGAAGAGTGTGTCATGTTGAGGTTGGAGTAGAAGATTCGGAGGAAGAGAGAAGAGAGGAAAGATGAGCTTATATAGATCTTAGTAACTGGTGTTTCAGCGTCACATGTGAGCGTCTGGGGTGCTGCTCCTACCATTTATGGACGCAGGCAGGAGCTGCTCCGCACCCTCGCAGCAGCCGGCCTGCGCGTCAACTGATCTAGGCAGTAGCACTTCAAGATAAGTGTAGCTCCCAAACAAGGCAAGGCCAAACAAGGCAGGGCCAACCAGAGAAGCACGAAGTGATGGCGGCAGGAGCAAACAACGTGATATGGCAGCCTGTGTGATCACAGGTTTGTGTTTGCTGTGAGAGGTTTTAGAGGACATTTATAGATTCATCCTCCCCATGTTGGTGTGTGTGAGCAATTGGCCTGCAGCGTACTGGTGGAGGATGATACAGGATTTTGTTCCGTCTTCCTCTTCCCTACTAGAACGATGCGTGAGGTTTGGCAGTTCTGCACCTGTAGTGCATCAATTGATATTGTGACGCCTTGCGCCCCGGGCCATTCTCGGCCGACGCAAACAAGCCATTTGATGTTGCTTGCTTCGCCATTTTGATGCGCCAATTGATGATCGTACCCTTAGAGGGTGGGCCGGAGCCCAATCGGTCATTCGAGTGGTTGCTGTGAAATAAATGGATAGGTGCAGTGAAGATAGAAACCGTAATCTCCATGATAAATACGGAAAATGGGCTCGGTTGAGGAAAGTAGCAGGAAGGGGAGGAGGGGGATCGAGGAGGGGGGAACTTGGCGGGAGATATGATAATGGCAGAATTCCTGAGCCTCGGCCTTCAATAGACTAGCAGATGATTCAAGGCTTTTTCTGGAGAGCGAAGACTCGCTAAGAATCATAGGAGGAGATATTTCGAAGAAAGACATGTAGGCAAGCGGGACTTGAGGTCATAAACATGAAGTATCGATGAACATGAAATTACTGGGCTGGGATTAGTAGTTCTCGATCTGACTGGATTCCTGGTCCATCAAACACCCATTGCCTATTCCATCAAAATCGCCCGGCTTATCGCCGACTGATTGGTTGAGCTTGCCCCTCCCTGTTCCCGCTAGACTCATCAAGCGTTCAAATCCCAGCAGGCGGTCCTCCAGCGCGGCTCCCCGTTTGGATTTGTGATATATTAATGTACCGATTCGAGGTTAGAATCCTGATCGCTGGGCAACCTTCCGCTAGTCGCTCTAGTAATAATGGCATCTAACTCGGGCGGTTCTCAAGGCCAATTTAGTCGGCCCTCTCAACATCCTCTCCTCTTCTGCCATTCTTCCCTTCTTCCTGCCCCAAAGTCATATGATCCATCTCTGTAATGACTCAACATATTATCTTCAACGAGGCCATCCCTCAGAAAGAAGAGTTCGCCAACCTGACCTTCGATTTCCACGGCGAAGCATAAGCATCGAACGATGAAAATTGAAGGCCTTGGTACCGAGGGCAAGGTAAATCCCTCTCGGAAAGGGTGCTGATACCCCATTCCGAACCTTTTGCACTTTGGCTGGATTAATACCTCATAATTTCAGTTCTGGCTGGATCAAAGCGTTCATCGATTAATTCTGAGTGATGGACCTGGCACAGGTTCGCACGGCTGCCGATGCCATGAAAGTCAAGTATATCACGCAGCCCAAGATCTTGAGCTGTTGAGCTTCCACATCACCGCATAATCGCAAACTAGTCGCGATACTCGTAGTCCGGGTCTGCAGAAACAGATTGATGTCTGTTGCCAAGAAGTCCGCCTTCCTAGGTAGGCGCCACCCTATCAAGGAAGTCGAAGTCCAAAGTCAAGTGAGACCAATTCCTTAAACAGATCCTGTACTAAACCTCTACAGCTCCGGCGACACGGTCATTACGAGAAATGTTTCACAGGATGATTTCAACTGTATATACTCAGCACACAGGTAGCGTGACTGAAAACTCCGGCTTTCTTTATACTCGGCAGACGCAAAGAGGCTTATTGTCTCCGTTCCGTCGGTCGCCCTCGCCGACGAGCAGCTGCACGGTGGCCTTGACGACGAGATTTTTCTCGCGGCAGCCAGATGAACCTAGGCTAGATGCAACTACGCAAGAAGTTTATTCCAGCTGGCAACACGACATACACGCAACGGGGCTACACAGACAACCGACCCACAGGAGACGAAGGGGATTCGGGCGGCAAGCCGGTATCAAAGCGCCCATCTGGAAGGGACTTCCCAACAATAGTAGTGGAGGACGGATTTACACAGATCGGGGAATCCCTAAGCGAAAAGGCGCGATGGTGGTTTAATGCTTCTCGGTTCGCCGTTGCGGTCGTTTTACTAGTGCCACTCGATAAGCGCTCTCAAGGAAAATCTCTGAAGAAGTGGAAAGCGGAGGGGCGTAAGGAGGAACGTCCCGGGCAACGACAACCCGGGGGCATTCTACTCCGGTGTCCATTGAGGTACAAACCATCGACGTCGCCCGATCTCAATCGGTCGCGGATGCTGACCCGAGACTCCGATGGCGTGTAGAGTTTCTTGTGGTCTCCTGTGACTCGAGTCTGAGGATCTCTTCCTCCGATGACCGGGCCAATTCTGGCGTGGACAGATCACAAGGTATATAAGAAGTAGCAGAGCCACTTTCTCCTACCTACCTGTAGATAGAGAATCCATCTTGACTATACACTTCTACCAGTGTAAAAGCGGCCGTTGTCATAAGTGACGACGTGACCTCCAGCATTCTAACAGCACTCTAAATCGACTTCTGTCAGAACAACACTCAAGTTCTCTCTCACTGTCACTCTTTTCTTTTCTCGCTTCTTCTTTTGAAGTAAGTGTGTGTGTGTGTGTGTGTGTGTGTGTGTCGGCCCAAGGCATCCCCTGAACATGGCCCATGCCCGAAAGAGCACCTTTCCATCCATTTCTCTGTTGGAAGTAGATGCTACTGCCTGACGGGGTGAGGGACGAGCCCCGCGTCTTGTCGCCTGCAGGGCTGTGGGCCCCCTTTGCCTGAATCGAGTTTGACGCTGTCGAACAATGAAATGGTCGAAACTCTCGTTTATTGTATTACCTATTGAGAAGACTTATACTAATGGATGCCTCATAGCTAAATCATCATCTCCGACAGTATTGCCAATGACGTGCTTTTGCTTCGTAGGTTTAACTCGACAACGGAGGGGGTCGGGTGACATCTGGGGGAGATTGAGGTGAAGCTGGTAGGAACTCGGCGACGCATGGAAGCGGGAAACCATAACATTTGATTGGCGGGTAGGGCGCAGCATGCACGATCGTCGATCACCAACACCAACGTCGACGCACATCACCCCTGCGTTTTGTTCCACTTGCAGAACCAACTGCATTATTTCAAACACTCAGCCACAACTCGATCGCCTGCTTCTCTGTTTCCCGTTCATGCACTGTTCATGGAGATTCGAACCAACATGTTCGACATCTCAGTCAATCAATCACGTGGTGTACAGGGATTGAGAGATGGATACCTTGAGCTGGAAGGATCGAGCCTGGAAAAGTTGGTTTGAGTCGGATCTTTCTCGTTATTCTTTTTCTCTTCTCTCCCCTCCTTCTAGCCGACAAGCTTCGGGACACCCTTGAGCCTCTCGTTCCGGAGGGTTGTCAATCTCTATCATCTATCCACGATTAGATGTACCCTTCCGTCATCGCACCATGAAGTCCCACAACTCTTTGGACTCTGCTGCTCTCGATGAGCTCAATAATCCCGAAGCGAAGGAGCTTCTTGACACGATTGACAATCTTCGCGCACTCCATGTCGGCGAGATCGTCAATCTTCCCCAAATCATTGTCGTCGGAGACCAGTCTTCTGGAAAATCCTCCGTCCTCGAGGCCATTTCTCATGTGCGATTTCCCGTCAAGGGTGGCGTATGCACCCGCTTCGCCACGGAATTAGCTCTTCGCAAGGCTCGAAACTCGAGCGTTGATGTTCGGATCAGCTATGATGACCCGGTTTCGGAAGCTGATCCCACTCGCAAGAAATTTCATGAGACGGCCTTTGATAAAGAGGCCTTGCCAGGACTGATTGAGGCGGCGAAGGAAGCAATGGGTATCAAGGTTGGAAGCACCAAGGGCTTCTCTAAGGACAGGCTTCGAGTGCAAATCACCGGCCCTGATGTGCCATCTCTCACCCTTGTCGATCTCCCCGGCTTCTTTCACTCTGAGACGGCCGACCAGTCACCGGAAGACAAGAGGATCGTTGACCAACTTACGACTTCTTACATGGGGGAGGCGAATAGCGTAATTCTCGCCGTCGTATCCGCCAACACCCAGCATGCAAACCAAATCGTCCTTGGCATGAGTAAGACGCTCGACCCGGAGAGATCCAGGACTCTAGGAGTCATCACGAAGCCCGATTTGGCAGACGAAGGGTCCGATAATGAACGGGCGTACTTGCAACTTGCCAAGAACAAAGAGGTGGCCCATCAGCTAAAATTGGGATGGCATATCCTGCGTAACAAGAAGGAGAATGAAGCTTCCAACACCTACGATGACCGGGATGCGAACGAGGCTGAGTTTCTCAGTAAGGGTGTCTGGTCTGACATCCCCGATCGAGACAAGGGAATCGCTAGCCTCCGAAAGAAGCTTAGCAAGGTGCTCTTGGACCACATCCGAGAGACTCTGCCAGGTCTCATCAAGGATCTGCAGGTCAACTTGGAAGAAAGGGAGGCTAAGCTCCGGCAGCTGGGAACAGCTCGGTCTACGCCGGGGGAGATGCGCTCGTACCTCATCGACATTGCGACAAAATTCCAGCGAATAGCTAGTGATGCCGTTAACGGGACGTACAACGACAAGTTCTTTGGCGGACTGGACACTCCCGACAACAAGCTTCGAGCGAAGGTCCAAAATTTCCATTGCGCGTTTGCCCTCACCTTGTCCACCAAAGGCGCGATGCAGAAGATCGTGGACGATGATGCATCATCTGGGCTCTTTCCCGCTCCGGACGAGGAGCCTGTCCCAGACCACCTTCGATCATTTGTTGGTTGTTACAAGTTCCCGAAGCCGCAGAGAGTCACCTACTCCGAGCTGACTAAATCGCTTGAGAAAAGCGCGGCTATGAACCGCGGCAAGGAGTTTCCGGGCATACCTAATAGGGATCTCGTCGTTCAGCTGTTCCGGAAGCAGGCCACTCCATGGCAGGGGATTGCCGACTTCCACCTGGGCCTAGTTACTGATGTTGTTAATGATTTCGTCTACACGCTCTTGGAATATGTTATTGGTGGGGATGAGTCCACCTTAGCAGCGATTCTACGTACTCTCGTGGCTCCCTTTTTTGAATTGAAGAGAGACCTCCTGAAGCAGAAGCTGGAGGAAATGTTGACGCCGTACACCGAAGGTTATGGCCTTCCTCTCGCCGGAGAGTATCATACCAAGATGACCAGTAGGTTGGAGGAGCGGCTGAAGCAACAGGTTACCAGTGTTGTGGAAGAAGAGAATCCCAAGGGCTCCGAAGAGGCCCAGCCTAAGAGGACTAAACGGAATGCCGGCACTGTTCTCAAGATTGTTCAGGCGATTTCCGACGAGCTCTTGGCCAGTGAGTTTGGGACTGAGAAAATCGTCGACATGATGGAAATCTACTACGAGGTGAGCATTTTTCTTTTCCCCTTCACGGTTCACGGCACCCCCACGCTAACAAGGAACATTGTTTAGATGTCCCTTCGGACTTTCACGGAAAACATCATCAACCTTGTCGTCGAGAGGTGTTTGATCACGCAAGTCTCCAAGATCCTGACTCCCGCTTTAGTCGGCGAGATGGATGACGACAAACTCCGATCGTTGGCGGCGGAGTCCGAAGATATTCGACGGGAGAGAAAGCGCCTGGAAACCCAGACGACCATGTTGAGGGACGGTCTGAAGCTGTGTCGGCAGTATAAGCCGTTTTCTAGGACTAGTCAGTGGTAAACCGATATTCTCATTTTCTGTAAAGACAGTCCATACCTAACGTTTTGGACCATTTAGCCCCGATTCCACACGTTTCAGTCGCTCAGCAAAAGAACATGGAACCCGCTAATGGGGGTACATCGGCAGCTTTGCCGTTGAGAGATGGTACTCCTGTTGGTAAGGCTCCGGCACCTGCACCGCCACCGGCAGCTGCTACACCAGTAAATCCGCTGTTGGCAGCGATTGCTTCTTCGCCGGGCTTGTTCCCCAAGCCTGCCCCGTCACAAGCAGCTGCTACACCGGCAAATCCTCCACCAGCAGGGAATGGTTCTGCGTCGGATTTGTACTCCGAACCTTTATTCGGTGGGAAGAAGGGGACCACCGTACCGCCGGGTGGGTTCGCCTTCGGGTCGACTCCAAGTCCTCGCCCATCGACAGGCGGCTTATTTGGAGGATCTGCCTTTGGGTCAGCATCGAGTGCTGCCGCCACGCCCTCCAGCACGTCGACAACTCCGTCTCAACCCTCCCTCTTCGGGCAGGGGAGCTCATCTCTTTTCCAACGCTCTACGTAGGTCGTCTTTTGGTGCTACTCCCCCTAGTTGCCTACCCTGATACGAGAGGGAGCGATGTCGCAACTGACGAGGCGTCCGAAGAGAAGCCCCAAGAGCGGGGAATAATCCAGCCAGAGGACCGTTTAACCCGGCGGAACAGACATTTTATCTCCTACATCACGAACGCGGATGGCCGAACTCTGAACGGCTTGTCCACATTTGTGCCTCCGCCGGTAGAACACATTTGTCAGCGGATGAGCTCCGTCTGAAGCACTATGAAATGTACTATTACTCCGATCCGTCTTAGAGAGCGAAATTCCTCGGGAGTGCGAGAGGTGATCGGTTGCGGCTTCGTTTCTTGTGTAAGATAGTTGGTGACTTTTCGATTAACAGAGACATGGTTGATTCGTCTAATTGTTTAATAATTGAATCGTTGAATGCATCTTTTCCTCCTCGTCCGTCCGAAGAAACGGGAACGTATTCTTGTTGTAATTGCTCATTTGCTTCTAAGGTTCGTGGCGCGACGCTTTTTGGCTTGCCCACAATAACGGCGGAGTGGAGAGTGATGGATGGATCGGTTCCACTTGCGGCAATGCCAATGAGAGAGTCCGGCCCTTGAAATCTCCCGTTGTCGAGCTATATACGGAACAGGAAGATTTATTTTATCACGGCTCATTTACCAAATTTTCACGGTTGACACTAGCATAGAGAAGGGCTTTGGGGGGACACGCGTAGAGAAGTTGGCCGGGTTAGGCCTTCGGATAGGTGCATATATAGATCGGGTTGTGTGCGGGCTGATACCTGAAAGACGACGTACGAGCTGAGGTGACATGGGCCTTCGGGACGTATTCGATATTGTACGAGGGCAAGAGAGACTTGGGCTCTCCTCGTAGCCGTGATAGACACACTTGTGCGAAGCTGCCAACAGTCTTCTTGAGATTTGAGATTTGGTAAAAAAAAAAAAAAAAAAAAAAAAAAAAAAAAAGTACCCTCTTGGGCTGTGTAGTGTAAATGATCGGCTGTTTTTACGTGTCAGAAGTGACTGTCACTGGTCCTGCCCCAAGTGCTGTCAAGGAGGAATGATAGTGCAGCTAGTGGACTTTTACACTCGCCCATGCCGCAACCTAACAAAGAGTGGCGTGCATACGGAGATGAAGGACGACGGTAACTAATAATTGACCTGCCAGATCCGGACTCCTCGGCACGGCGGTGGGGATGGAGTGTATGAGAGGTGGTTGGGGGCTGAAAGGGTAGGATACGGCGGGAGGAGGCTGAAGCTGAAGGATACGGACATTGGCCGTCAAGCCGCTTTCGACCGCAAGAACGGTGAGCAGCTGCCCAAAGGAAATGAGGTGATATCGCAAATGTTATTAGGTCTGGTTCAGGGCTGGCGTCGTTTCGGTACGCCCCCATGGAAAGATCATGATTGAAAAGGGCAAGTTTTTGGTCCTCGGAGGCTGTCAAGTGCATGCGCTAGACGGTCGACTGAGAAGAAGACCAACTTACACACCCATTTCATGCAAGGTGAGAGATGACAGGAGGGTAAGGCGCATACTTGTAATCAGCAACTGATTTGTGGACCCAACACGAAGAACTGATTCAGCAACGAAATAATGGACGTTGGGGACGAGCGGGGAGCGATAAATATGGATCGTATTTGAAGGATTCAGAGACGATATCAGTTGATAACTGGGGACACACCGATGAAGGTGTTGGACCTCACGAAGGAATTCAGGATATCCTATCCTGGAGTCTGGCTAACACGAGCTTGTGGAGTCGGGCCATTGGGGCCCGGAGCGGACGGAGGATCGACAGTGTTGTGAGCACCATGTATTCCGTACAGAGAGCACTGGTTGTACGACATCGAGTGCAGATCCGTAGATGTCTGTTGTTAGTAAAGGTACAGCGCAGATGCAGAGTCATGACTGTTGGCACGGAATGTTGTCCATCATTGTGGCTTTGTCGCTGCACCGCATCGAGGATGGACAGAAATAGTCAGCAACCTGCATCTTCGCGGTATGTGGCGGCTCGATAAGAACAGCTGTGGCATGTTTCTCCGGCGGCAATTCAGGTGAGGTTTCATGGCCTGGCCTGGCCTGAGCCTGATATTTACAATAACAGGTTGTCAAACTTTCAAGATGCGCCAGGACGAAGGAAAGCATTCTTCCATCGTTGTCGAAAATAGCGTGAGAAAAGTAGTGTATACATGATATAAATAAGAAAAATGAATAGAAGTCAATGTATATTATACAAAGCACTTCGTAAAAGTAATTGAGCGTCGTCATTCCTGGAAGGTGGAGCAGGCTCTGTGCGGTTGGTCGGACCCATCAGTTGTAATCCTTGGCTGACCTTGAGCCTCTCATTGGCCAGAACTCTGGAAGCCACTTCCGAGAAGTGGTAGCAGCGGTCCCGTTGACGAGCATGGCAGGCACCATCTGGACCCCTGCAATGTAACCTGGCGTACCTGTGTACACTTCGTACCCTGTTGGCGCGTTTCGAAACTTGCAAGGACGCCTCCTGAAATTTTACGAACGAGGGAACCAGCGTCTCCCCGCTCCTCTCCTTGTCAATCGAAGGCAGGCCTAGCGTGGTTCCTTGTAGATCTCCGTCGGATCTGCTGGGAGTGCCGGGATTTAGGGGGAAATGAGAACCTCCCTGGTCTATGGAAATGAAAAGGAACAATTGGAGAGAATGGATATGTTAATTTGAATTGATGCTTTAGCCAAAGCCTAATTCTAACTTTAAGTACGAAGTAGGGAGCAAAACAATTGATTGATGCGGTGGTTTATTTGATCCCAGGAATTCTCCGTTGTCAAGACCAGTCTTCCGGGTCGCCTACAACCGACCGGGTCGTCCCTTCACTTCGTGTGTGTACCAGGCGGGAGAGATATTAAAAGGGGCCTGCAGAGTGAAGCCCATGGCCAGGTCAGGCCAGGCCAGCAGACAAGACCCGGGCATTGAAGTCATGTCTCGTCACGAGCTGCCCTTCAAGTTGGCGCAGACTGACTCTCGAGGCTATCGTGAGATTGCAAAGTAGCGTTTGGAGACGAAGGCACGATGTTGACGGCGTATTTTCATCTCATCTAAATTACGGGGTTGACAAACCCAAATGCCACGTCGTTTCCTCATTTTTTTGACAATGTACTTCGTACTTCGTGCTTGGGACTGAGCGGAAAGTCAAAGAAGCTGCCAATGCTCAGGCTCCGCACCGCATACTGTCTGAAAAGGTACCGATCGATTATTATTATGTCGTTTGCAGTGAACTCTGTCTTGAAGAGTGCACGACTTTGGCTAGTGAAAACATAAATCCTTCCAGAATGCACTGTGGACCTCTCGACTCGCTTGGCTTGATCAATTGATTGATTTGATCATGATGTTTGCTTCTGCCAAATGTTGTTGGTGCTTATCCAATCTGCAAACCCCCAAGCCGCTCGGGAATGCTAATGTTTGTTGGTTCTTCAATACCCAACGACTGCTGGCCACGATTTCTCAATCGAGAGCCCATACGGATTGAGGTACTCCATGTCCAACTTGGCAATGCCTCGGGCAGCAGTGTCCAGGACTTCAACGCACGCCGCCGCCAAGCCCATCCCACGCATGCCTCAGTCTGTGCCTGTTCCTGACCCTGACCGACCTTGCCATCCCCACCATCACCGGTTGCTCTGTCCAATAGACGACATTGTTCTCCCCTTTTCTCCTGACTGCACACGCAGGTACAAAGTTTTTTTTTCCTCTCCTCTCTCTCTGGCCCCTCCAATGTCCAGGCCCGGGCCCCTCCGTTTGTGGTTGTATCCACCCCTTTCACTTCGCCACCACGTCCATTCGATCCATTCTCAGGGCTTTCCCCTGTTGTGCGACAGGGCTCGGTCCCAACGGACGGTTGGATTGATGCTCCGAACTGAAAAATTCTAATCAATTGATCCCGGGCACCTACGCAGTGACGCCGTAGAACTCGAGAAGATGAAAGAAGATGGGAAAATTCGTACGAAAACGCCACGCCACGCTGTCCTGCGATGCATGCCGTCTTCCTCTTCAGCTAGCCAGGCCATGTAGAAAGACGAGAAGAGAACCTAAAACCCATTGAGTCCAAATGCCGCAAGTAGGGCTGGAAGAGAAAACAACTCAAACGAAACGTGGCGAGCCTCTGTTTGCGATTATCATCCGATCAACGCCTCCAGACCAAGATCGTGCTGCCCTGGTCAAGCTTGAAAGGTGTTTCCCCTCTCCATGTTTCTCCGATTCCCGACTCATCCTGGACTCTTGGTCGACCCTGTAACCCTGTAACCCTGTCCTGGTTTGTGTGCTGGCGGAGCAAGAGCGTTCTGCTTTGGGACTAGTGCCTTGCCAGCCATTTGGTCAGGAATCTGATATTCTGATTGACTTCGTTTTTTTCTCCGGACTGAGACCTCAGTTTCTGACGGGTATCTGTCTATCTGTCCCTGTTCTGTCACTTCTCTCATCTCCAAGTGCAAGATATGTAGGGTCTTGTGAGACTTCTTTCTGCAAGTTTCACCCATTAGTGCCAGCCATTTGGGCCATCGTCCTATGGGGGCGGCGTTACGCAGTGCTCATGACTGAGTCTGATGGAGAAGCTGACTTCATTCCTGTCGGAACTAAGGCTTGGCACAGCTGCGAAAAGCAACTTAGACACTCAGTCTGGGCAGGGGTTCAAGGGCGCTTGCCACGCCACCGAGGTAATGTCGGTGTCACTTTGAGATTCTAGGGGCCCATAGAGCCCTATGGTCTGGTCAGTCAGGTTAGGCGCCGCATCCAGGGAGCCCTTCGCTCCAGTGTAAACTACTAGCAGTAGCGTCCCGCCGACGTGGCGACCCTAGCATGCGCCGCCACCAACATCCATTCGAGATACCTCCTCCCTTCCCGCCTAGACCGACTGTCCGTCCACACACCCCCTCTGGCTCCGCACCACTCCCCTTCCTTTTAACTCTTCTCTCTCCTTCTCGAACCGTTGGTTCTCTTTCATTCTCATGTCTGTCTAGACTACCCTCTCTCTGTCATTCTTTGCTTTTTTTTGTTCCTGTTGCTACAAGCTGCTGAGCCTGCTGGCACGTCCTCTCCTTGCAAACCCAACATCTTCCCTTCTTTGAACAACCAAACAGAAGTCTTTGACCGTTTGAAACCAGCTCCTGGTATTTACGTCAAGACCCTTCCATTCTTTCGGTGCTCTGGTATCAGCATCTTGCATCTTTTAGCAACTTCAGTCCAACGGATATCATACACACACAACAAGAACAGAAGAAACAAATTCCGAGAAAACCAACAGGGTTTAGTTTTTAGGAATCGGAAAAAAAAAGAAAAAGAAAAGGACAAAGAACTCTTCGACAAGATGAAGCTCTCTACCATTATGGGCGCCGCCATGTTCGGCGCTGCCCTCGCGGCCAAGGATTCCCGAACCTTCTCCGTCATGCGCTTCAACGGCAAGGAGATCTTCAACGGCCGTCTGGATCCCATCGTCAACCCAGGCACCACCTCCATCCACGAGCACACCGTCTTCGGTGGCAGCGCTTTCGGACCCGACGCCACTGGCGAGTCACTCTCCCAGTCCAAGTGTACCAGTGCGAAGCTCAAGGGCGACAAGAGCGCCTACTGGGCTCCTAGGCTTTACTTCCATGACAAGGCGGCAGGCACCTTTGAGGCTGTCCCCGTCTTTTACACCAACATCTACTACTTGTAAGTTGTACAAAGCCAGGGGTACACACCGCACGTGCCCTTTTGTCGAAGTTCACGGCTAATCGTTATGACAGCTTCGAGGCCACCGACGATGATATCGTCGCTTTCCCCAGGGGCCTTTCCATCCTTGCCGGCGATGCCAGCACTCGTACTGCGCCCTCCACCGGTAGCATTGGCAACCTTGATCCCAGCAACGGCCCCGTCAACAACGTGTTGTGGACCTGCCCCAGGGCCAACTACGACACCCCGGCCTGGCCTGCGGGCTCCGACGGCACGACCGCTGGCATTCAGGACCCCAACAACAAGGGCCAGGGCGTCGGTTTCCCCACCCAGTACTGCGACGGCTTCGCCTCGCCCCTCCGCGCCGACATCCACTTTCCCTCCTGCTACAACCCCAAGGCCGGCCTGACCAACTACAAGGAGAACATGGCCTGGCCCTCTTCCGAGGGCGCCAGCGCCGGCGGCCGCACCAACTGTCCCGAGGGCTACATCCACGTGCCCCACCTCTTCATGGAGGTCTACTGGGACACCCCCAAGTTCTCCGACCGCTGGACCCCCGGCAACGGCGAGCAGCCCTTCGTCCTCTCCAACGGTGATGTCACGGGATACTCCCTCCACGCCGACTTCCTTGCTGCCTGGGACGAGGACCTCCTCCAGAACATCATCGACAACTGCAACTCTGCTCATGACGGTATGGAGGCCTGCCCGGGTGTCGAGGCTCACATCAACACGGAGGAGTGCGAGTGCGAGAACGCTGCCACTTTCCGCACCACCGGCTCCGGTGCCATCTCTGAGCTCCCCGGCAACAACCCTCTCTCTGGCTTCTCGTACGGAGCTGCTCCCGCCCAGTCCTCGCCCGCACCTGTTGACACGCCCACCCAGAACTCTTCCGAAGATGAGAGCTCCGAGGAGGAAACCGTTGATGATTCCGACGCCGAGTCGCAGCCTGAGCCCGAATCGCCGGTCGATGACTCTCCCGCCCCTGCTCCTGCTACCACTCTCGCTCCCAAGCCTACCAAGGACCCCCTCTGCGTGACGAGGACTAAGACTGTTGTCGAGACCGTCACCGTCTACGAGGATGTCGTTCCTACTGAGGCTGCGAAGAAGCGACGACACATGCACATGCATGCCGCTCGCCACGGTGCTCGCATGAGCTAAATGCCTTGCAAGCTGCAAGAATTGGGAGCCAGGTGTCAGGATTTTTTTCTTCTATCTTTTTCTATGTTGTTTGAATACTTCACTTCTTGAAACATAGATTTTAGGGAATTTACGGATTTTCATTTTTCACTTCTAGAACCTCTATCTATCGTTGTAGATACCTCATAGTCTATCTGGCAGCAAGATGGGAGAGGGGAAGCCCCCTTTTTAGGATATTTTCAGTGTTTTTTTTTTTTTTTTTTTTGCATAGGAACAAAGAGCCTTGCTTGGCGTGGAGGGAGAAAACAGGCGAGATTTGAGAGACGAAGCGATCGAGGCATCTCGCTAGCTCTCTTTTTTACCTTCGTTGTTTATATCTTTTAGGAGCTTTTTTTGTGTAGCGATTATGAAAAGCATCATGACCTCTCGAATTGAGAATTAAAATCAGTGTCTACGAGCCCGTATGTTAGGACAAGACATTTTATGGAGTAGGCTGAGGTTATCAATCAGCGTGTACGAAGTAAAGGCCCGGCAGTTGAAGCCTCTCTCCGGCGTTTCCCGCCTCCGGTCGTGTGGGGACTCCGGCTTTCGGGTTCCGCGTCGAACTGAGGACGGATAAAGCCTAATTAGACTCACCCACTCCGGATGTCATGTACACTGTATACGACAGGTTCAAGAGGGATGAAGTTGTTGCCAGCTCAAGTCGAAGGCTCTTCATTTCTCCATCGAGTGTTTATTATTAGTAGCCTTTCCAACTCAGCATTATGTCCCCTTTTCCTCTCTTTTTCTTTTCACCCTTTTCTTATTCCTTTTCTTTTCCTCCTCCTTCTCCCGATTATCCGCCTTTCAAATCTAGCTTCCTTCATAAAGAAATAGATTTAGAGTAGTAGAGGTGTAGTTGGCGTTGGCTTCTAAATATAATAGAACCATAATGCCCGGGATCCGTCCTGTCCGTCCTGACGACCGTGATGATGTTGGATTATTTTTCATCATCAACTTGGGCCGATTCTTGTCCTCTATGAACGAAAGTCCATCGACGACGACTGATCTCGACATTATTCTTCTGTAGTACGCAATCAGCTTTCCCAAACCTCTTCATCTAGCAATGTTTCAACGATGGCATGGTAAAAGACACGATATCTATCAAAACGAGAAGAGATCGATGCTATATTCCATCAAGCCCCATTCCCAATTCGATTCCCATATTCTTTTTTTCTACATCTCCTATCTATTTCACATTTTACATCCTCTCAACAGGCGACAACCCCAACACCCTCATACCATTATTAAGTACCTGCCTCGCCCCCTCATAAAGTGCCGCCCTCGCTTTGCCCACCTCTTTCTCACTGCCCACGACCTGCAAATGCTCGTAGCTCGAGCTGAGCACGTGCGTCATCTTGAACAGGTACACCAGTATCGTCGTGGGCTCGAGCGTCTTGAGCGTGTTGGTCACCACGTCGGGGTACTGCGCCAGGAAGCGGATGAGATTGACGGCGTGGGGTTCGGTGAGGAGGTCGAGGTTCGCGGTGGCAATTTCCTCGGGTGTGAAGCCTGCCTTGCGGGAGATGGAGCAGAGGCGGGCGTGGGCATATTGGAGGTAGGGACCGGTGTCGCCCTCGAAGGAGGTCATGGCATCCATGTTGAAAGTGTAGTTGTTGATCCTAGATGGGGAAGTGTTAGCAAATGAAAAGAGCGAAAAAAAAAAAAAAAAAAAGAGGGTTGAGGCTAGATCTCACCTCTTGCCGGTCATGTCCTGGACCATGACACTGCTGATACCAAGAATATCCGCAACAGCATCAGGATTCTCGACCTGCGCATATTTGGTCTCGTTCTTCTTCATCACCTCATGCATATGTGCACCGACGTCCTTGAGAATGTCGTCCAAGAACTTGACGGTACCCCTTCGGGTACTCATACCAAGCACGAGACCAAAGTTGACGTGCTGAACCTTCTTCGCAATCTCGGTGTGTCCCATGAGCTCAATAATCTTGAACAGCTGCTTCAGGTGGAGATCCTGCGCGCTGGCGACGACGTAGATCATGTGGTCGAACTTGTACTTTTCATGTCGGATGAGCAGCTCACTAATATCTCGGGTGAGGTACAGGGCCGTGCCGTCCTTCTTGCGAATGACGGCCTTCTCCAGACTCTTGCCAGCCTTGCCGGCCACGTGCTTGGAAAAGTCGATGAGCACGGCGCCGTCCGAGTCCTCGGAGATCTTCTTGTCGGCGAGAACCTGGGCGGCGTTGGCCATGGCGGCCTCGGGCACCTGGCTCTCACCCGAGTAGTCGTCGAAGTGGATGTTGAGACGAGCGTACGTGTCCTGGTATCGCGTGATGCTGAGAGAACGGAACCTCCTCCACTGTCCCAGAGCCTGCTCGTCACCGTCGACCATCCTCTTGAAGTACTGTCGGGCCCGCTCGTCGACACCGTTGTTCTTGAGGTCCTCGGCGGCCGCGGTGTCTCCGCTCGCCGTCAATGCATCCATCTTCTCCTTCTCCTCAGCCTGGTCCTTGCTAATCTTGACGTAGATTTCATAAAGATGGTTAATGGGATCCGCCGTCAGCGCCTCCTCGTTTCCGTACTTTTCGAAGCCCAGCGCCAACAGGCCGTACTGCTTTCCCCAGTCGCCGAGGTAGTTGATCCTCACGACGTCCCAGCCGGCGCCCTCGTACAAGTTCGCTAGGAAACCGCCGATGATTGTGCTTCGCAAGTGGCCGGCGTGGAAAGGCTTCGCGATATTGGGAGAGGAGAACTCGATGATTACTCGCTTGGTGCCCTTGGAGGGGTCGCTGGGGTCCTTGAGGCCAAAGGCCGCGTTCGTTCCGTACTTGGGGCCACGCTTCTGGATCATGGGTAGGAGGAGCTTCGTGAGAGGCTCGGGTTTGAACCAAAATTGGATGAAGTGACCAGCGGCGACGGGCTTGTTGACAAGAGGAGACTCGGGGAACTATATCTCAGAGAGTCAGCAATCGATCTCGCTGAGCAGAGGGAAGGGTCGGGATGAGACAAGTGCTGGTGGTATATATCCTCGACGATGACTAGAGGGCTAAAAAAAAAAAAATCAAACCTACCTTGGCAACCCACTCCTCCGCCAACTCAGCGGGCTTCTTGCCCTTGATCCTCAGGGCCGGCGCAGCGAGAATCAAGTCTCCCTTGTCGCTCGACTGCGTCCATTGCAGCGCGGGGTATATGATGGCCTTATCAACGCCCGTCACTTCATGGAGCAGCGTCGTCAGGTGCGAGCGGTAGACGTCGAAGGGGTTCACGGCGGGGTAGCAGTTGGGGAAGGACTCGAGCTTGTCAACGGGGAGAGGGCTGGGAGTTTCCGCGGCCGAGGCGGCATCGGCAGAGGTTGCCGCGGGGCGGAGGGGAAGTTCAGTCGTGGCCATGGCGAAGGTTCGGTGGTGAGTGAGGGTTTGCGGGGAGGGGGATGCGAGGAGGTGGTGATGGTGGGGTAAAAATCCTCGACGAGGGAACGGTCGTCGGGGTGTTGGTAAAGAGGACGAGGAGACGGAACGACGAAAAGGCGAATAACGGGCTTGGACTTGAAGAGAGGGGTGGGAGGTGCACGATGAAAGAGGATTGCGCTGGATGAAGAGGGAAGAAGTCTTTGCAGCAGAGCGTCTGGTACACGTAGAAACTGCTCGCCAAGTTTGCGCTGGTGTGTGATTCATCCTTTAAAAAAAGAAAATGCAGCCGCCCCTCAACCCCAGTGAAGTCAAAGTGTGGGCAGGAGCGAAGTCCAGCGGCAGGCGGGGCAACCCACAAGCAAGCGCGGGGCGCTCGACTAGCAGAGGAGCCAGGTACTGGCGACTTGCAACTGCTCAGGCGGATGACTTAAGCACGTCGCATGTGCAAGTAACTTGTACCTTTCGAGCGTCCTGCATCAAATCTGCCCAACTGTATGCGTAGTGCATACAATTGACCTTATGAGAAAGTGTTTACTTCGTACGCTTATTACTTTGGTGCACTGGGCGGGCGACCTTGAAAGCCAAACCGCGCATTAATTCTTGCGACTGTGCTGTTCGGGGGGCATAGCCAAAAGGGAGGAGAAAAAAAATTCTGCTTCGGCAAATTCTCGGAAAGGAGTTCAGTAACCACTACAGTATAACTCAGCTAGATTAACTGCAATTTCTTTTCAATTCACACGGTATGGAGCAAACAACAAGTTTGAGGTAATGGGGGGACTCGGCTGGCGAGAACTGTTATCTCACTAGACTGCTTCGTGCTCTCTGGAGGGCCTCCCCGTCCACAGCCAAAGTATGTTTCCGTGTGCACAGCTGAAGACCTTCACTCTTCACTCTTCGTGTTCGGAATGGGACGCGACAGCAAACACTTACGATTTTGCTACAAGGTTCGACATGGGGTATTCAAATGCACCATTTTTCACTGTGTGCCGCTCCATGCCCGTTCGTCTGTGGGGATCCATTGATGTTGCGTGTCGTGTCTTCCAACTCCTCTCCATCCTAAATGGCCACTTCACTCACATTTAGTGGCCCTGTTCCTCTCGGAATTGACATTAGCTTCTAACTGTATTGGTAAGAGGAGGAAGGACAGAAGCAGCCGATTCTTCTTCTTCTTATAGGCATAATGGAAACGCAGTCCTCATGGAGAGCGTAGATAGATTTTCTTGTCCAACAGCTAACTAACATCTACCTAGACTCTATTCGGCCAAATTCGCCGATCGATGCATGCGGCTTAGTCGAGAGGCGTTCGTTTATGAATAGCATTCTTCGAATTAGCTTCAGGCCTCTTCTCCAGGAGCAACTCGAGAATATGCCTCTCATTGCTTTCATTAGCCCAACTAAGTACCGTCTTGCCGTTGTTATCCTTCGATTCGATATTGGCACCGTTTTCTAGAAGCAGCTTTACTACTGCTTCCTCCCCCATGAAAGCTGCTATGGAAAGTGGTGCGCGGCCTTTGTTATCCCTCGACTCGATATTAGCGCCGTTTTCTAGAAGCAGCCTTACCGCTGCTTCCTCCCCTATGAAAGCTGCTATGGAAAGTGGTGTGCGGCCTTTTTTATCCCTCGACTCGATATTGGCGCCGTTTTCTAGAAGCAGCTTTACTACTGCTTCCTCCCCCATGAAAGCTGCTATGGAAAGTGGTGTGCGGCCATTGTTATCCTTCGACTCGATATTGGCGCCGCTTTTTAGAAGCAGCTTTATTGCCCCTTCCTGCCCTTGCTCAGCAGCTAAGGCAAGTGGTGTGTAGCCGTTGTTATCCCTCGACTCGATATTGGCGCCGTTTTCTAGAAGCAGGCGCACCATAGATTGGTGGCCATTCATAGCAGCCCAGCTAAGCGGCGTCAGGCCATCCCCATCGCCTAAATCTATGTCGGCATCGTGACGATCGAGGAGATATTGTACCCCTTTATGTATCCCAAAGTATGCCACCACGTGAAGAGCCGTGAATCGTTCCGGGTAATTGCGTGGTGATGTCGGCCGGGTAATAAAAAACAAGGCTTGGATTGATGCTTCAACCTGCCCACGCTCTTTCAAGAAATCGAGAATTCTTTCGGTAGGCGGCTTCCATGTCCACCGGGCATGATGTCCCCAGTTTCGCGCTGCATAGCTGTACAGGGCATTGTCGTCAAGACGGCTGTCAATATCGGAAGCTTCTTTGCATGCTCCGCATTTGAATTTATCGAATGACAGATAAGTCACGCAGAGGGTAGTGATTTCTTCCTGGGCAGACGGGAACCATTGATCATGAGTGCTCTCGAAATACTCTTGCATGGTGAAGTGAACCAATCGAATAATGTCGCTCTCTTCATCGATTGTCACTAATCCGGCACACACTGCGATGATGTCGTCAATCTGAACAAGATCGCGTTTGTCTAACTCCGAGTCGCCTTCTTCGACCGTGATGGCATGTTGAAGCTCGACCTTGCGAAGTGGTTCCATCGCGCATGTAATCCACATGAGAGTCTGCTTGGCAAGTTCCCAACGACTGGGTTCTTGCTGTTTGATCCTCTCCATCGTGTCTTCGTAAGCACGGTGCAGTATCCCACGCCTCTGTTCCTCACCAGATCCAGTGGGTGTCCTCCTAAATCTACGTAACATGCTCCGAATTTTCTTTGGCATAACTTCACTCGTGAGCAGCTCCAAGTATATCCGAGCCAGGAGAAACCTATTTATGATTCTTGTTAGCATATGTGCATGGCTCTTCGATTTATGCCACTCGGGAATTCCTATAACGCACATTCCGTCGACCGTATCTGAGATTGTTCGCTTTATCTCCTCTTCCATCTCCTGTATCGTGTGTGAGGATTTTCGAATGTGATGTTCCAGATATCTTTCAACATCAGCCTTGGTGGCACGGATTTCCAGCCAGCCTTCTCGGTCGAATTTACCCGTTATCTCAGGAAGGAATCTCGAAGTCATGAATAAATTGACTCCAGTGGAAGCTTGGAGATGGATGAGTTCTTTAATGAACGCGTTTCGGCAACCGCCCGAGATTTGGCACTCGTCGAGAGCGTCAACAAGAATAAACACCCTCGGGTACAACGAAGCAACATTATGCAGGACTTTCAAAAGCTCCTGTGTTGGTGGGCATCTCTGTTCCGCCTTATATCGCCTGTAAAGCTCCTTTACAGAATCCGGTACCAAGGACTGACCCTCAGCGAGCTGCCTTAAAAGACTGGAAAACAAGTCGTCAAGTTTCTGTTTTTCAGTCCATTTGAAGTTGCAGTAGATGTATGCAATGCCGACACTTTGGTCAGCGCGATACTGATCCAGAAGATGGTCTACCACTGCTGCTGCGAGAATTGTCTTGCCGGCTCCCGGTATTCCGGGACAGAACAGAGTCTTCCGATCACCTTGAAGCCAGGATTTGAACTCGGATGATTCGAGAAGCCATTGGCCGGTCCCCTCTTGACGTTCCTTGATATGGTCATTATGCTGAGTAGAATATTTCACTGGGGTGATCCAGTCGAGGATCCTTCGCTTTTCTTCGTTATCCTGTTCCATATTCAGGCGATCTACGCCCTTTCTTATCTCGAGAGTGATTTGGCTTCCCGAATTAGCAATGATCCCATGAGAGGGAGAACAACATTCTTTTCAAATAAAAAGAGGTATTCACTTTGTTATTCGCCCATGAAAATTATTAAGCAGCGTAACGTTACTGGTGATTCGATGTCGAAGCTCTCCAATGTCGTCGGGTTCCCACTTGAGCCTCTTCCACACTCTCTTCCCTTTCGAAACAAAGGAGCCATGGCTCGACTCCAGTTCGGAATACTTGCTCAGCGTCTTCACTAAATCAATGAGGACTTGGTCGCAGCTAGTAGCAAGTTTTTGGAGCTCGGTTCTCTGCTGGTCTTCGAGCTCGAACTCGCAGAGGGCGACATCGATATCTTGAATTGCGATGGAGAGGTTTCTAACTCTAGTAGCCAGGGCTTGGTTAACGGAAGCCATGCCAACGTTTTGATACATGTTCGCAGACGTACTCGTCACTGATGTTCTTGAACTGAGATGGAGCGCCGGCAAAGGCTCTTCTGACCTTGTCTGCGCGATCGTAGACGGCGAGAAAGTCGCCGATGCTGAACCCAAAACTCATCCTGGCATTTGGTCCCCAAAGGGCATTCCTCTGGTCGTCGAGAGAGAAGAACGTTGATGAAATGGTTGAATGCACAACTGAGCCACTGGAGGTTGGGGCGGGGTAGACTTAATACATTTCCTCCGTCCTGATGCAGACCAGGCTGTGAATGTCGCCATGGCCAATCAATTTTGGCCGACGGATGTGGCCTGGACCAGACCAGTGCTTGGCCAGGCTGCAGCTGATGGAGGGGAACCCCCAAGCTGGCGAGTCGGATAGTGGCGCAATCGACTTCATTCAAAGAATGGAGAAACATCGGTGGCCATAGGAGCTCTGTTGTTGTTTGGAAACCAGAAGTGCTCGCTTAGGGCGAATCAGTGAATGCGAAAGTGAAAGTGATTGATGGCGTGGATAGGAGGTTACCTACCCTACGATGGGGGGACTCAGCCTAGAAAAAACACCGAATCCATTGATCAATAGACCTCTTGATCACATATCATCGGAATAGATAAGTTGCATTCAAAGTCTCTCGCTATCCCAAACTCCATACTCCGCCAATGTCATCCTTCCTCATAGCCTATCGCATAACAAAACAACCTCCAGCTCAGAAAGAATACTCCTCCACATGCAAATGAATCCCCTGCGCCCCAGTCCCCTTATGAACCGCCCTCTGATCCGACAGCCTAGCAACACAATTCCTCACCCTCGCCACCAACGGCCGCCCTCCGCAAACCACCACCAACGTCTCGCCAAGAGCAGCCTCCACAGGCTCCTTTAGCAGCGCGGCTATGTCGAGACGGCAATCGTACTCTCGAATAATGTCGATATCGCCCGTGCTGATTTCCGGGGTTGTGGGGGTGGCCGTGACTGTGTCGACGGCGACGGCCTTTTCGGCATCGTTTATATTCGCTGGTGTGGGGGTATTCTGTTGCGGCGTGACGGCGTCGACGCTCTTCTTCTCGTCGCCATGATTGACGGATGAGGTCGACGAGGATGCGGCTTCAATAGTGGATCCCTTGGTCGCAGGCAGTGAGTTCTTGCAAGGACCGGTGATGGCGACGTGTGCATGGAGTTCGATATCGGATGTGCGTTCGCGGCTTAGGTATTCGCGAACCTGCTGAACGTAGAAACCAGTTTCCTCGCTCTGGCGAGAGGTGAGGATGAATTCCACCCTCCGTAGACACGTCTTCTTCTTCGATCGGGCAATGTCTTCGAGTATGGGGAGCGTAAAAGACGCGCCTGTCGACGCCGAGATTAAAATGACGGTATCGTAGACGTCCCAGCTCGGCGGGCTTCCGTACGGTCCGTAAACGAAAGCTGTAGTGCGCATTAATTCTCCCTTTTCTTGCGCTTTTCGGGCCGCCGTGTGAAGACGCTTGGAGAATCCGGAATGTTTCCGGATAACGAACTCGATCGAGTTGCACACGCACTCTCCGGCGACCTTGTGCGCGCAGGCGATCGTGTAAGGATGGGCTTCGGTAGGACCAACGGTCGGCATCCACAGATAGAGGTGCTGGCCCGGGTTCCATTTGAAATGGGCGTCCCTGACAGTGACAACGGTCGTGCTGTCTCCAGCCGTTCGCACGAGTGCTTCGTGTCCGATCCTCTTCCTCCCCTGACACGGCGATTTTCCGACCTTTACCTTGAAATTCCTAAAAGCGAGGAGTGCCCATCTGGCAGCGCGGTCGAAAGCTATGAAACCCACAGCAAGCCACAGGTTATACATAGCCACGGGAGGCAGATGGTTGGACATGACCCAGATGAAGATGACGGCCGAGAGAATATGCTGAATGACGAACACCTCATAGGCGACGGATCGAACGGGATAAAATGATGTAATAAACATCCAGAGCAAAATACCCCAGCCGCCCAGACCGTACTTGACCATAGGCATAATCTTCAGCTCGAGCTCAACAAAGTCGGCAATAACCCATTCGGTGTAGAAGTGGAACCCGTGCATAGTCGCTGTTACGAACATGGTCCTCGCCACCCATCGATGCAACCAGTTGAGTCGTTCGTGGCTAATCCCCGTAATCAAACCGATGGGGTTCGTCTTCATCGATAGTAAGAAGACGAGGGGCATCTGGGTGACTGTGATCCAGGCATTTCGAAAGCCGATGCGTTCCCAGAAGTATACGTCGTCGATGATAGCTTTGTAGGTGATCATGTAAATGATGACGGCCCAGTAGGCGAACAAGATTAGGACGCGACCGAGGGGCGGTGGACTGGCCCATGATAACCAATGTATGGGGATATGAAGCTGTGGGTAGGAGAGTTCTCTGCATATTGCTGTCACCGTTGCCCACGCCTGGGATAAGACATTTGTTGGGCGGCTAGGTGAGAGAATGTATTCTCCTCGACATCTCCGCCGCCTGGAAACCTCATGATGTCTGAAGTTAGTATAAGTGCGCCCGAGAAACAAAAAGAAGGGAGAAAGAAGTCCGCCTCAACTAACCTCCTTACTACTTGCACATAGTCGATGAGCCGAATAACACCGCAAAACCCAACAACACCAGCGACGATGTACCAATACGCCTCGGCGAGTTCCCTATTCTTCTTTTTGAAAGCGCCGGTCCCTGTCGTTGAGGATCCGCCATGGTTGTGATTCATTCTCGCGCCTCGTGTGCTCCGAGAGCCTCTTTTCTTATTTCTTTAGTTTGTAGTCTCTTTGGAGAGAGTGGCGCGACTCTAGATTCCAGATGGAGCTTGGCGCAAAAGTTGTCTGAGAAGGGTCCGGCAGTTTTCTCCGCCCGTGGCGTGGTTCCCCAGCTTGATGAAAGAGGATGAAAAGAAACGGGTAAAACGAGGAAGATCAGTCAATAAAATGAGAGCTAAACAATCTGGGGTGCAGTTCGCGAGCCGAATTCCAGACGGCTTCTGTTAGCCGGGACCCAAGAAAGAGAAGAAGGTGAAAATGCTTCTCACGGCACTTTCGGGGCCGTTAGCCAAGGTTGATTAGATTAAGTTGGTAGACAAGAGGGTTAATTGATATTGGCCATAATTGAGAATGACGTGGTTGGTTGGATATCAGGACTGGCTCATGTTGTTTTTCTCCGCGGGTTTATACGAAGTATGCAGAATAGCCGTGACACGAGAACTTGCCCATTCACAGATGACACGTTCAACAAGTGGTGGGAGCAAGAGGAGGGGGAGAATTGGATCTCGGATGACAAGAGTTGAAGCCCAGGAAGAAAAAAATATAGTAAATATATAACGAAAAACAGGGAAATGTGTTACAGCGGGCGGGACAGATGTGAGAATGCACTCGTTGTGGTGCCCCGGCAAGTCGGGATAGACAGAGAGAGAGTCTGCAGAGAGTGGATGGGGGAGTCGTCCACGAAGAGATCGATAATGGACAAGCCAAGGAAGAAATGCAGGCGCTTCGAGATTGGAATCAACGCCGCTGGTCGTTAGTTGCCGCTTTCCGAGATTCTGGGGCTCTGACCAATTTTGGAACAAACAATCGTCATCGATACCCGCGCAAAAGGCCTCAAGCGAAGAAAAATACCAAGGCGCGGGATCGTGGGATCAAGAAGCGGAGCGGAGCTCTCCTTCGCTCAAAGCCCTTCTCTCGATTCGTAGCTTCGAACCAAAAGGTGGGATGGGCCGGTCTGGCCAAGCCCAAAAACCCACAAAATCAAGCATTGACAAAAGAGTCAAAGAGATCCAGTGCGACGCGGGGAGCCAGCCACAACTTGCTCAAATGCGCTCATGTTCCGCAGACGGACCAATCGCCGCGAGGCACCCGCAATAGCCCATTGGGTCCGAAGAGGAACAAAAGAGTCCAAGAGGCGGCGGAAGCCCAATCGGGGATTTTACAGAAGGGTCAAGGATCCATTTCCGAATGTCAGGAAAGTGGGGGATGATGCCCTGGAAGGAAATTTCGAAGAATTTGCTCACTTGTGCCCGGATTGAGTTTGGTGAGAATCTACAAAGTACATGGCTCTAACGCTCCTTCCCAAGTTCGACATCACGGACATACAGCTTAACTCGCTCTCAGAGATCAAACGTTTGTAGGATTTGAGCATGTTTGAACTTTTTTTCCCCTCCCTGCAGTTACTCTCGTACCTGCAACTTCGTACAGGACGCAGCTATCGCCGAGGCGCGAGCTGCCGTCGTCCCGGCATCAAGAAGGACCCAGCCTCCCAGAACTGGCGTAACTTCTGCCGCCATGGGAGAGATGAACGGGGCTTGTTTGCAAGCTCCTGCGAACCCTCCAGGTACTTTTCGAGCTTCAAGGATGCTCAAGATCCTTGAAGATTGATACGAAGGAAATGAGATCTCTCTCCTGAATCATCCTCGCCATGTAACAGACGAATGTGTCTGAGCCCGAGCTCCTATTTCGTAAGACCTGAGAATCTCAAGCTGGCCATGTGTCCATCACGGACGGCAAATAGCAAAAAACGGAACAAGTAGCTTTTTAGCGGAACCACTCCAAATAGCCTCTGCAACCATAACTCCAGCCAAAACTCGCTCGTCTCGTCTTAGTTAAAATCTGATAAAACGATCACCGGTTGCGCCGGCATCTTAATGCGGTCTTGGCCCTATTAATACTAGCCCGCACTTTTTGGAGCTTCTCTGCTTCCTGCTCCCCTCTTCCCAAGGTTGCATACCAAGCATCCATACCCTTGTTCGTGCATGCCTCGTTGCCACTTATAGAGCTTCGGATATCCGCCGCCTCTGTCGTCATCACAGATCTTCCTCCCCTTCTGCTTTCTCTCCAATTCTCCCCAATTACCTTTTCTTCCTCCTTTCAAACCCTCAATTGCAAAAAATTCTCCTCCGAGAACTCTCATAAACTCAATTGAACCCGAATTAATCCCAATTATTTCCTAACTCCAAAAAAAGAACTTGCAAAATGGCCCGCCTCACCACCACCCTCCTCTCTCTCCTCGCCACAACAACAACCGCCCACTTCACAATCAGCTACCCCCCCTTCGTCGAACCCGCCAACGAAAACCTCCTCGCCAGCGGGCCCTGCGGCGGCGCGGAGCTCGACTTCGAAAAGGGCACCGTCACCGACTTCCACGTCGGCGGAGATGCCGTCGCCGTCATCGGCGGCCACCCCCAGAGCAACTGGCTGTTCCGCGTGACGGATGACATCACGGGCGCCACGAACTGGACCAAGGCGTTCCCTATTGTGCAGCAGAACGGCGCGGGGAAGTTCTGCGAGCCGCAGGTTACGGTGCCGGAGGCGTGGATTGGGAGGCAGGGGCTTTTGGGGGTTGTTGCCAATGCTGAAGATGGTGTTCTCTATGCTGTAAGTCATCTTGAGGGGGAGAGACATGTCCGAAAAAAAAAAAAATAAGGAAAGAAAAAGGCAGCTAACACGAGAAAAACAGTGCTCCCAAGTCAAATTTGTCGAAGGCGCCGCCGGCCAACCACCCAGCGAATGCCAAAACACCACCAAAACTGCCTCCTTCGTCGACGACTCCACCCTTGATGCTCTCGTAGGCGACGGCAGCTCTTCCTCCGGCAACAGCTCCTCTGGCAGCGGCGACAGCGGCAGCGGTAGCGGCAGTGGGGATGGAAGTGGCAGCGGAAGCGGTGGCGCCAGCGGCTCCGGGGACGAAGGCGGCGCTGCTGCCCTCGCGTCGAGCTTCTTCGGTGTGCTTTCCGCGGCTGCTGTTGTTGCTGGTGTCTTTGTTTTGTAAAATGGGTTTTCTTCCTGTCTATTTTGGGGGGAGATTGGAATTGGAGCTTTCTTTTTTGGGCTGTGTTTATTGTACAGTAATTGAGTACATATGGCTACGATACCAAATGCTACAGTGAGAAACATTGATGAAGGGAGGCGATACGATGGATCGTCAGTTTATGAAGCATATCACAAAGCAAGAAATCAAAGGTCACCACCGAGATATTTCTGAACAAAAAGAAGAAACTTGTATTTTTTGGTTATGCTCCTCCATCTTCTAAAAGGGTCTTTGTGTCGCGCATCTGTATGTGTATGTGTGTATGAGTCGAAGACGATCAATACTAATACAGAGCAAGATTGTATCAGAATGAAAAAAGCCATCCATTCATCCATTCTATGCTCAATCCCTTCCCGAGCAATTCCCAATCTAAATCGTCAAATCGTAGACATTAAAAACCAACAGCAAACCCTCCTATGCCCTCGCTGCCACCGTAGCCCCACACCCAAAGTTATGAAGCCTCTCCCCAATCAAATAAGCCTCATCTCTAATCCTCCCCTTCCACCCCCTAAACACTCCCACCAAACTCCACGCCATCGTCGAGCTCAGCGCCACCAGCGCCGCCGACAGGAAGCTCAACCGGTAAATCAGCGCCATCGACACGGGGTCGTCCGAGACGCGCTCGAACACCCCCGCTGCCACGAGGACCTTCTTGATGAGAGGGACAATAATAACGGGGGGCGCGGCGACGGCGACGAGGCAGAGGAGGATGGCGGGGATGACGAAGGCGCGTGTGAGGATCTTGACGTCGGGGCGGAGCCAGCCGCGCCGGAAGATGGCTTGGCTGGCTGTTGCGAGGCGGGTGGCCGCGAAGTTGGTGTTGAGCACGCGTGTTGCGAGCTTGAGGTAGAGGAGACCGAGGGTCCACGCTTGGACCGCGCGGATAGTGTGGATGCTGCTTGCCGAGGCGATCACTAGCGCATCCCCGCCGGCTGCGGGGACGGCCTCGCCTACCATGGCGGGTACCTTGGGAGGCGACATGTAGGTATGGAGAGGGATAATGACGTACAACTCCACAAGAGCGCTGGCGAGGAGAGGGAAGAAGACAAAGACGTTCAAATAAGCGTACGTCAACTTCGCGCCGTGGAGCGCCAAGCTGCCAATCCGTTTCGCCGCACCCGGTCCCGAGATGGTCTTCGCCGCCACGCCCGCCCAGGCACGCAGTTTCTTAGCGAGCGCAGCTGCGCGGAAGATCGAATAGGCAATCGTTCCCAGGACATAAATTCCGATGCTGAAGGCGTAAATGTCGTTGGTGCGCACGTGTGCCGGGAGCAGGAACTTGAAGAGTCGTCTGCCTACGATTAGAGGGATGATAGTCAAGCTGACGCCTGTGACGGCAGCGAACATCCAGATGAGGAAAATAAAGAGGAAAATCCGGAAACGGAAATTCGGCGGTAGGTACACGAGCTGATACTGGTCGGTGAAGTACTGGCTCGGATTCGGCACATTCGCGAGCGGAGCCTGCGTGGTCTCGTGAACGTCGAGGAAGACTCTACGTCCCTTGGGAATGCGGACCTGGTCCGACGCTGGGGTGCGGACGAACCGTCCGTCTGGACAAAGTTGGCCCTTCCTCACGAGTTTCTTCTTCAACTTTGAGAACGAGGTCATCTTGCGCTTGGGGGACGGCTTGGGGTCGAATATGTTGGATGCGATATCATTCCACGACACGGGAGCGACTTCTTCGTTCCGGTCTATATGTAAGAAGAGTTTCTGGTACCAGGGGAGCGCTTGATGCGGCGAGTCTGGCGCCAGAACCAGCGTGCCTTCCTCGTCGACCTTGCGCTTCCCGAATAGGAACCATGTTAGTCTTAGCGTGCGGGCGCATTGCTTGAACCACCACGTATACATGGAGTGTAGCGCATCGCTCGGTCGGAGAACCCTTACGGCTAGCGGCATTAGGAAATTGTAGAACAGCAGGTCCACGGGGAATTCGAGCACAGGTTCGTTGGACGAGTAGTGGATGGGTAGGACGCTGGATGCGAAGCTGAGACCCCAAACAACTCCGCCCAGGCAAATGACGACGAGCCCGCCATACACAAGCGCCGAGAACATTATCTTTCGGAGTTGAGTGAAGAAGTTCCTCTCCAGCACATCCCGAACTGGGTGGAACTCGGGGTCGTCGGGGTCCCTGATGAAGTCTGAAGCGACCCTCGTCAGTAGCAAGAAAATGCAGTAGGAAGAGAAATCTAAACTTACACAAAACGCCCTTTCGCATAATCTTGCGACACATGGAAACAAAAAGGGCAAAATGGAACATGTACCCCGTTCCCACGAACCAGTGGACAAAAATCGAGGTTAGAGGGTAGTTGATGCTAAATTCGTACCGAGATTTGATCGTGGCATGCTCGAAAAGAGGTAGGAGGGCCGCATCCATGAGGAGGCCGCAATACAAGGGGAATACTAACATCTCGATACCGATAATGAGGATGACCTTTGTAACCCCGCTAGCCTGGTTGATCAAGTCCACGATAGATGCCTCCCAATCCTGACCGAGCTGCCCCGAGGAGAACGGGGCTCCGCGGGTAACATACAAGGTGGCTAAGAGTGCAAAGGCTATGTACCCAGCCGAAATGGCCCAGAACCTGTCTGTCCCGGACCATGATGCGAGGGCTGGGTCGATGGGGACCAGGGGATCATTGCTGTTTAGGTCAATGATCCAGGCGCCGGGGGTTAAGACGGAAGTAAGCGTGGAGGTAGTGGTATGTTTGACGAGATCCGCATAGTAGGCTGTGTTGTTGAGTAGAGCGCTCGCGACCTCTGGAGCAGGGGAATCGAGGGCAAAGGAGATCGTATTCCAGATCGCGGCAAACGCGGTGGCCACATGTCCCTTCAATTCGAGGAGAGCACTGTGGCTGACGGCGGAGAAGTTCTGTATTTCAGATGCGTGGAATGGAAGCTCTTGGATGAATCCGGTAGACAGCCGCGAGGAAGCATTAGCCGTCAATTCCCAGGTATACGCAATGCTGAGGTTCATGGATTCTAGATGAGCTTGGCGCCCCGTTACTCGTCCCAAAAGAGCCATTACGGACAACGTAGCCCAGGAGAGGACACCCGCCACAGCGGCCGCAACATCCTGGACGAACTTTGAAAGCGCAAATAGGATGCGTACAATCCGCATGGGATTAGCCACAAGGCAGACTGCCGTTCGGCCAAGGTTATAAGGGAGGAAGATGCAGACGAAGATGGCCACAAAGACCAAGCAAGCGCAAAAAACGGCGTTCTGGAAGAGCCCGGCCAAGGGGCCCCTCATGCCAATGAGCTCCATGATGCCTTCAAAGTCTTCTATGTCATCAAGAGCGTCTTGGTCGAATCCCGCCCCTCCACCACCCTCACCACCGTCAGCATCATCATCATCTTCCTCGCCATTTTCTTCCTCAGCATCGTCATCATCTAGGTCCTCGCCCTCATCCTCGTTGTTGCGAGCGGCAGCATCATCGTTGACATCCTCAATGTCACCCCATAAGAAATCTGCGACGCGAGCCCAAACGGGCCGCTCTTGAGCTACTTGGTGTGCGGGGACATCGGCGGCATCCCGAACGGCTTCTGGAACTGGCGCTTGACCCCTGGCGTCTTCCATCCTTGGTCCTTCGGCGATAGGGGTCTCTTCTCGATGGCGGCCAAAAATTTCCGACGGGGTGGACTCGCGGTCATTCTCATCTTCCTCGCGTGCTACTCTATCATCAGGGTTGCTAGGGCCTGTCGGGCCAAATTCCTCGCCGTTGGGTGATGCTACAAGGATATCGTTTGCCGTAAAAATGAAGGTGGGTGCATTTTTGTCGTTTGACTCATCTTGATCGGGCGAGGATTGCTCCGTCGGAATTGGGGAAAAGCTCCAGCTGTTGTTCGCGAGTGGGTTCACGTACTCTCTCGGCTGGGCCCCGTCGGAGAAAGCACGGCGACGAGAGTAGCCCACAGGCTCTGGGTTCCCATTGCTCAATAGAGGGTCATGGTCTGGCGCATCAGTCCCGCGTTCTGTCGAAGAGGGTTCGTTCCAAATGGGCTGCTTGGATCTGGCTTTGGATGACATAGCCTCTTTCTCTTCTTCCTCCTCCTCCTGCTTTTCCTCCCTTTCATTCTCATTCGACGATCTCATTGTCGTCGGGCCGAATACGTCCTCGATTCCGGAACGTGCTCCGTAGCTGTCCCTCCGTAAGGATTGCTCAGTTACCTGGCTGCTAGATGCCTCCGCTACGTCGGATGAACCAGAGTCGTCATTGTTGGTCGATTGCTCCGCACTGTCCACCGTAGGAGTGGGGGCACGTGGGAAGCTCTGAAAGTCACGCTCAAGAAGTCTCATAATGGCCTCAGGATCGTCTTGGGCCTCTCTGTACTCTCGGAGATATTGATCGGCATCTGAAGGCCCATCCTCCGGAATACGAGGGCCAGGCATATGCTGAGAATGAGAAGCGCCTATGGCCTCTGTAGAAGATGCGCGGTCATCGAATGGAGATCGAGTTCCACCGTGTTGGACTGCTCCATGGGAGGAAGATGCCTCACCTTCTGGCTCCGCATCTAACTGCTGAGGGGCGCGACGACGGAAGGTAGCAATGGGGCGCTCGTTCTCGAATCGCGGGGGTCGCATGGCAGGTTCGTCATCATTATCATCGATATGAGGAGCCTGGAAATGACCTTCGTTCCCTTCGTTATCGGATCCGGCGGCATCTGGAGCTTGAGCCTCTGGCTCTCTCCGAGGGATGACGTCGGGAACTTGGTCGTCGAGGCGCGCTATTTCCTGGCCAGCAAAGGCTGCTCGCATGTTGATCTCCGGCTGCTGCTGAACGACGTAGTCCCTAACCAGAATGATGAGAATAAAGCAGACGATTACGAGAACTGTAATGATCTGTCCCTCAAGGACCATAATCACGAAGCGGTTGATCGATGGCTGCCGGGTCAGGTTGCGCAGAAAGGTCACATTGCTGAGGAGAGAGCCCTGTGTCGGATCAATACCGAAACCGGCATCCTGAATTGCCATTGTGGCAGGGTTCTTGCGTGTGATCGATGGGAAGAGCGCTCTAAGAATGAAGAAGAATAGCCGCGCCGGCTCGTTCGGATTCCCTGTGACAGTTTCGTTTGAAGAAGTGTTGAAAGCACTCGCTACGAGGGTAGCGGCGGCGTCCTGTAGGCTCTGTGTAGTGCTCGCTACCAATGATGAAGTGCTATTTACGGATTCCAAAGCACCCAGAGCGGCGGTATCGGCTGAAGTGGAAGAACCCATGTTCTTCGCTAGAAGTAGGCTACCGAGGCCTTCATCGCTTAGCCAGAAGAGCAACGACCACATCCGTCGCATAAGGTATGGAAGCCAGCAGAGCCAGACGCAGGCGACCAAGAGCGCCCTTAACCACACGACCACATTACTGAGGATGTACTTGGTCATGTGTGTGACGAAGATGTGCACCGGGAGGGTCGAGGGCATTTTTGGAGAGTAGAGCTTGGTGAACCGGAAGGGCGTCTTGCACAGCTCGCAGTGTTTCTTTTGCGAATGCGAGAGCCATTCCATCAAGCAGTTTTGATGGACATACTTGATACTTCCGCTGCATTTGCAGGGATAGAACAGCGGCTCGTTGGGTGTAGACTCCCCGCGGCATATGCGGCAAGTGTCGGGGTCGGCATTCTGGGGTATGACGCCGAAGTCGCTGGCCCTGTGATGAGATGGTCGAGATGGGGAGCGTCGGCGGCGTGCGTAAGGGGGAGGACCTCCCGCGAAATCGAAATCCATGTCCGCCATCTTGAAGGCTGAAGAAGCGGCTACGGCTCAGGCGGTGTGATGACAATGCCCGATCGCCGGGTATGACGGGAGATGTTAAAGGGATGGCTCCAGAGCCTTGCGGAGATGAATCGTATCGACCATGCCAAAACGGACGGATCTGTCGCTGATGGAGAAAAAAAAAAGCCGCCGTGACAGTCTCGAGGACGCGGTGATTCGAATAGGATGCGCGTGCCTATCTTGACAAGCGCAGGGGCATTTAGTAAAGTCCGAATCGATCTACGATTGCAAACGACGGGAGGCGCGGAGTTGAGGTTTGGGCTTGAATGGCGATTCATGCACGCATGGAAGAAGCAAGAAGCTGGACTTACCTCTGGTCTAGTGGCGATACACCATATCGACGTGCCTAGGCGTCGTGTCGATAGAGGAATGACAGCACGTGCTTGGTGTTAAGAAGCGATATCGTTCACCTTGAAGAACGAAGATCAAGTTGACGTGAAATCAGCCCTGTGTCCAGTGTGCTTGTGGGGAGGTGCTTGACCAACGAACGGGCTCAAGAAATTGGGGGGTTTCTTCTCGACGGATTTACTTCGTGGTGCTGGAGGGAAAACGGAATAGTTTGAACGGATTAAATTTGACAAATCAATGTGGGCTTTTCTTACGAGATCAAGTTAGCTCGGAAACGGTAGTCTGAATTGTCTCCGCCCAAAATAAGAACACCTGTGGGCCTTAGTCCAGATATTAAAACGGTGTGGATTTATTGTTGACGTGTGATGACATCAGCACTCGAATCAATGATGTATTCATTGTAATTCATTGTAGGCCAGCCATCTTGTTCCTTCACGGTCCCGAGGTACCTGAGGAAAGAGTAATAATAGAGTGGCAGGAGGGAATGGCCGATTTCTTCCTCTCTGATACAATTAATTGTGCGATGAGATCTGCTGATGCGGTGCTCTCTGGTCAACTTCGGAGTGTGTACTTAACTACACTTTCACCGGTCATTTGTCCAAGTGCCTATCCTACTCCTTGTGATCTGTCCCAACTCTTATTTAAACTCATGGTAACCAGATGTACATGAGAGGACTCCTTAAGCCTTGATGAAACATTGATAATTTTCTCGGGGTCCGGAGGTTCTGTCTGAAGCGTGCCGTGCCAAGGACTCCTGCATCGGAACATCCCAGACTTTGCACTTTGATTCTATTGGCTTTTGTTTCGGATCGCTGATACAGAGTTCGTAGAATGATGTTAGGGGTTGCTTGCCGGGTCTGAGCTCTCAGGTACTTTCTTGTCGAAGCATCGGCACATGCCACGCTGTCTCAACGCAGCTTTCCACCTCCATCACGTTCTGGACCTCACATGTGCCGGGGATTGAGTTCTCTCTCCCCGCAGTTCATGCTCTGGCATGGATGGGGGCTACTGCTAGATTAATCTATCTCGTCTATCGTTAGGAAATTCGAGCTAGTTTGAACATCATCGCACTACCTGTGTATACGAAGTGCACAAAAAAAAAAAAAAAAAAAAAAAAAAAAAAAAAAATTTATGCCCTCAGCGCAGGACTGCAACGAGCGCTCTGGACTTGGAGTACGGACGAATTTGGATTGTAAGAGTTTGCCTAGTGATCTTTTTTGGAGGCTGGGAACAGTCCATGTCGCAATCCCAGGTAACGATCTCGGGGAACTCTAGGCAATACCTCAGTACATACTTCGTACTTGGTGACCTCGCGTACTTGAGGTACCCACTTATCTGCTGTCACTCACTCTGTCCCCTTGCAGACCAGGTTTGTCCCTTCCCAAGTTTCCGCCCACCGCTAGTTACCTGCACATCAATCTTGGAAATCAAGAAAGGTCCGTCCCCAGGAGCCTGTGAACGTTGTTCCTTCTTTGCATGAGACCTGCTGATTTTCTTCCACCGCAATTCTTCAACCATTCCTCCACTTACCAACCTCACATCACCACCATCTTGGCACTAATCTCGACTGATCACTCAGCTAGTCGAGGATAATTCACCTAAGAATTGCGAACGACGCGACGGACTGAGTTTTTGGCCTGGTGCCATCCGTCACCAACGCTGTCCTATCTCATCCCATCACCGACATCTCTTTGTTGTCGCGTTTTTCCTCGAGGTGATAAGACCTCACATTTACCTCACATTAACCCCAAACTCTTGACTATCTAACCACCCGTATCACTCCCGTCCACTCTCACCACAAAAATGGTGGTGAGGAATCTCTCCCCGCCCCCGCAACCCCCCTCGGAGGAGCTAAACGGCCTCGCCAAGAAGGGTTCGCGTTTAAGCAATGGAAATGCTACGATACCCGCGAGGAGGAAGCTTCGTTCCGCAAAGACCTCGAGCTGGCGCGCCTGGCTATTTAACACAGCTGCGAGGTGAGATGCATAGAGCGAAAACCTTATAGACTTGACGCGAGCTAACCCCTTATCTGTTGTGTTCACAGGCTCTTCACTTGGTACGCCATCCTCACAATCCTCTTCCGGTGCCCATCCACGTTAGAAGAATGCGACGAGACCTCTCCGGTGATTTGCAAAGCCTACTTCCACACCAAGGCTGCCATCATTCCACACGTCGAGCCCTACCTAGACGAATACGCCGCCCCTTACGTGGAGATTATCAATCCGTACTTCCAAGCCGTTTCCAACAGCGTCATCACACCAACCCGCGCCGTAGTTGAGCGATACGGCGCGCCCAAGGCTCAACAAGCGAAGGAGTACCTGCAGGCTCACTGGGCAACCACAGGCCAGCCTCAGGTGGATAAAGTTCGCGAATTGGCGAATGAGCAGTACCAGCGCAACCTCGCTCCTTATTTGGACCAGATCTCGCAAAGTTTGGCGCCATATTACGACGCTGCGCGAACGAGCGCCCTGCGGACATACGATGAGCTTCTTTTACCGAGCTACGAATTTGTTAAACCCTACGCTTTGATAGCTTACGATGCCGCTCAGACCGTCACTACAGAAACCATTATTCCCTCTGCTGTCTGGACCTTCAACAAGACGTATACCTTCCTTGATGATAATGTCTGGCCACATGTTAAGGGGCTCTATGTTGAAAACGTCGAACCTCAACTCGTCAGGATCGGGCAGCGTCTCGGACGCTACAGGGACGCACCAAGCACCGGTATCCCTAAGAAGAGTGTGCCTCCTAGGTTCGTCTGCCATTGCTTTCCCTGCAACTTCACTTGAATACTGACAGTCATTTTTAAGCCCCGACACGAAATCGTCCTCGTTCGTAGTCAAGCCTTCCGAGTCAACACCGCCGCAGGTTTCGTCCTCCGTCGCATCTGCGAAGACCACGTCGGTATCCACCGTCCCTGCTCCTGAGTCTAGCGCCGGCGGAAATTCTAACGCCAGCCCCGAGACACAATCGGAGGCCGAGGTTGAGGTCGATGTTAAGCCTAAAACCTCTGAGAAGCCCTCACAGGAGGAAATTCGACGCCTCGCTGCCGAGACTGTCGCCGAGGACTTGAACCAGTGGCAAACCAAGTTCGCCAATGCGGCGGATGAGGGCGCCGCTGAGATGGAGGATAAAGTACATGAGATCTCCGAAAGCATGATAAAATCACATGTCCGGGGTCAGGGGGACAGACTTGTCGCCGAATTGAAGGAAGCTGCCGAGGAAGAGATTGCCAAGCTTCACAAGAACATTATTTCGCTCGTCCAGTCATCCTCTAAGGTGACCCGAAGTGAAACTGAAGAATCGGCCTTTGCGGCCGTCCGACAGGCTGGTCTTATCGTCAAGGAGAAGGCTGAAAAGATTCGCACCTGGCGCGAGGATTTCGAGGCGGATTTGCACGCTGCCGTAACCGCGGCCGCACAGGAACATTTCAACATACTCGGCAACATGAGGGATTTGGCTCTACAGAAGATCGGCATGAAGTGGGCGTGGATGGACGGCGTCACGTATAAGGACTGGGCGAAGTACCACGACATGAAAAAGCGGTTCGACGAGTGGACAGAAGAACTTCAGCAACTGATCGTGACCCACCCCGCCTTGGAAGCCGCCATGAACGAAGCGGCATATGTGGAGGATGACGGCATGGAGGCAGCACAGAATGCAGCTAGGGAGCTTGCGCGTCTGAAGCAAGTTGCTGCCTGGAAGATTGGGGCAGGTGACGCTTCGGACAACTTCGATAGCGATGATATGAGACGTGCGGCCGAAGCAGCGGATGCCAACCCGGATACCATACCATCACACGTCGTCGACAATCCATCGGCGGAGCATCCAGACGCCGATACCGAGCTCGGAACTTCTCCCGAAGATGCTCCAGAACCCGTTCCCGAAGCCGACGTCGAGGACGAAGTAGAGGGAACCCCTAAGAACCCCCAAGATGCCCAAACCGAGGCGGCAGCTGACCCTTTGCCCGCTGAAGAGGATTTCGAGACTGAAACGCGGGGTGATGCCGAGCTCCCTCCCTTGGAAAAGGATGAGTCTGCAGATGTGCCTATCAAGGCTGAAGCTCACGCAATTGTTGAGGGAGAAAGCGACTCCGAAGCTATTATACCTGAGCCTGCCGAAGAGGATGAGAATGCTGTGGAGCATGCAGAGGCCGACGCGGTACCCACTGCAGATTCTGAGGATACTGCTGTTGCAGACGATGCGGAAGCGGATTCGCCTGCTGCCAGCGTTATCCCGCCCGTCGAGGAGATGCCTCCCGTACAACCGATTATTCCTGGTGCAGCAGCGGCATCTGTAGAGGGCGGGAGTGAGCCGATCCTTGATGAAGCGGAGGAAACCGAGGAGGAAATTGAGGAGAGCGTTACTGTTTCAGAGGCGTCTGCTTCTGCAAGCGAAGCCCCCGCTGCTGAGCATAGCCGGGGAGCAGCTGACTTGGAAGAAGAGAGTGCTCCTGTTGCTGACGACAAGCCCGAGGAGCCTATGTCCGAACAGACAGATAAAAAGGATGCCGACAGCCTTCTATGGTCCGACAACGCGGAGGCGACATATGCGACCGTCAAAGATGAGCTATAAGACGGCGCCACAGCGGGAGGCGAAAGCTGCATACGATGCCTGTACGTCTATTTCGCTTTCTCCATCCTTTACGAACGGCGCTGCGTCACGCTCTCCACATTTTCGGTAGCTGCGCCACGGCAAGCTCTTGGCTGGATTACGCTTCTCGGACTCGTCGGACGCGAATGATGGGGATGACAAACGGCATTTTTTTCACGACGGATGCAGACTGGGACGAAGGGGAAAAAATGAAAAGGTGGTACACGTGGTGGAAAGCGTCCCGTCGCGAGTATGGGCCGTTGTTCTTTCATTCTTTCACTGATGGTGGCGGAATCGGCGAACGGAGTCGGGATGATTTAGTGCTTTTTTCATCAAATGTTGCCAAGGAGGCAAAGTTTACGCCCACGTTAAAATGGTGCAGCGCAGACAGTGGGACAGACCAGAGAGCATCACGGATGCCTCTGGATGAGAAATACCCGAAAGCGAAAGCAGTGGAGAGAGATATCTTGGGTGGATCTGATATGATTCTATTCTATAGCTAGACAGGGTTTGACTGGGTTGTTTCGGGGATGAAGTGTATGATGGATGTACGGCTATGAGCGTGGAAAGCATGGATTTTTAGCGAAGTTCCCTGCTGCTGAATTGACTTTTCTTTGTGATATCTTGATCCGTTCTCCTTGTTGCCATTCTTCTCGTCCTCTTAGGATTATGGGAGGCAAATCTGGCTGGTGAGCAGGGCAGGAGAAAATGCCTGTAAAACGAATACGAAGTCGTTGTCCAAAGCAGACTGGACTCCGTTACGACACGTTAGGCTTCCGTTTTACGATGGTCAGTTTTGATGCCCGTCTCGGCTCGCGGAGGGACAAATTGGACGGACAACAGGCAATGAAATTAACAAGATTAGCGCTGTTTCTAGGCACCCGTCAAAACGGCCCTTCTGGTTGGCTGGGTTCGAGGATCGACTAGGCTGCGAAATAACCGCCAATCGGCGAACGGTGATGGACTCGGGGCTTTTGGCTTTTGGTCTGTCGCTGAACCGTCCCAGGCAACAGGATTCCCTGTCCTGTCGCTTGACGCCCTCTCTTCATCGCATCGAAGGGTGAGACAGATACACCCGTTGATTAAAACCAACATTTCCATCGGCTGGAAAGAGTCGAGGATTCTACAGCGACAAACAATCGAATTGATATGCATCTATCTGCGTGCGCTCTAATGATCTAGTCTTGCGCTCTGGAGGACGGACTCAATCTCACCCCGCCTTCAGCCGTACGCCATAAGACAGTTGCTCACCCCTGCATGCACAACTCACCGAGCATCACAGCGCATCAACCACATCACACCCCAAGTTGAGCTCCGTCCGCGATGAGTTCCCTCATCCCTAGGGGCGGCTTCCAACTGCCGTTCCAAAAACGGCTCAGCAACCTCTACAACGACACCAAGAAGTCCTCCGACTTTGTCAAAGAACCCGTCCAAAATGCCGAGGACCCCGAAATCAAGGCGCTGCACCGCAAGCTGCGCATCCAAAAGGATCGGCTCGTAACCTGGGGCGTCGAGTGGTCCGACCCCACGCAGTCGGCCGAGATCGACGAGTCGCTCTCTAAGGCCGGGTTGAGCGAGGTCGTGGGCAGCATCATGTCGACCATCAAGGACATCCTGGCCGAGGCGGAGCCGCTTTGGCAGAGTTACAAAGGGAGAGGGGGCGCTTCGGGGGGTGGAGGGGGGGATGGAGGCGCGGGGAAGGGAAATGCGGCGGATCGGAAGAGGCCTATTATTATTTGGGATAGGGGCCGGTTTGAAGACTTGGTGAGGGACTTGACTATGTCTATTGACACGCTTTATGACCTGTCGAGGACGAGGTCGTCTACGGCTACGAGCTTCCGCGCGCCTGCCGGTGGGAGTGGAGTGTTCCATGCCGGCAAGTCGTCAGGTGAGGAGGCTAAGACTTTTGAGTCGACGCGGATGCGGACACCGCAGCTTATCGCGCCTTCGACGCTAAAGCCCCTGCGATACATATCGCAGGCCGATGGTGCGTATTCCGCCGTTTCCGAATTGAAGGAGCGGGATATCGTCGTCATGAATAAGCAGGCCTTCTCCGACCTCCCGCGAGCCGGCGATGCCCAGCCCTGGGCTCCGTTATTGCTTGAATTTGCTACCTTTGATTCCATTTACTCTACGACGGGCATCATGCCTCCTATGGCTCGCTTCGAGAAGCTCTCTGCTGGCCTTCAGAGGGGACCTCAACGTTCCCCGGGCACCTGGACCGGTCTCCCCCGCCTTCTGGGATACTACGAGGATTTGGAACGTTCACGGCTCGGGCTCGTCTACCAGTTCCCCACCGCCTTCAACCCCGTCTCCTTCGACCCGCAGACGCGTGCCCCTTCAGGACAGCTCTACACCCTCCGGGATCTCCTCTCGCGACCGGATTACGAGCCACGTCTCGAGGCCAAGTTCCGCCTCGCGCACAATCTCGCAAACACGGTCTTCGACATGCATACGCGCGGCATCACGCACGGAAACCTCGTCGACAGCGCCATCGCCTTCTGCTCGGCGAAAATCGGCGACGATACTGACGAGCCTGACGTGAGGCGGCCGCTCGTCACGTCGTTTGAGCTCTTCCCCGACACGCCTTCGGATGAGACGTCGACGTTGCGCCAGCCACTCTTTCATCATCCTTTGGACCCGTACATCACGAAGCATTCGCCGCTGGGTAACTGGACGGATCTGCGGGTGTTGGACCTCTACTCCCTCGCCATGGTGCTTCTCTGTATCGGTATGTGGTCCAACATTGAGATGTTGGTCCCCAATCCGAGCGTTCCATCTGTGCCCGAGTCTATTATGGAAAAGCTTGCGATCCAGTGCGGTACACTGTACATGAAAGCCGTACAAGTCTGCTGGCGCGCCGCCGAACAAGAGTTCTCCGGCGAAGGCCCCACCGGAGACGAGCTCCTCGCTTCCGTGCAGATGGACGTAAGTCGGTGTCTCGAGGCTTGTTGCATAATCGACGGAGTGAGTGGATTGGAGCTTAGGGTTATGGAGGAGAGGATGAGAGAGGAATCGGTGCCAGCACCCACCCCTACCCCCATTCCTGCCGCCGCTGTTCCAACGCCATCGCCGAGGATGAGGTCTCTGCCCCCAAAGGCGATGATGGAGCGGACATCTTTGAAAACACTGACGCCTAAGTTTTCTCCCGATGTGGCTACTAGCTATACAAAGGTGGATAGGAAGCCAGAGGCGCCTCGGACAGAGCCGAAGGAAAAACAAGGATCTAAGATCGGGACAAAGCCAGCCTCGAAAGAGAAATCATCCGGTATGTTGTTCTTTTTTACCTCGAAATCTCATTTCATGGTGTTACTGTGCTGACGGTGTTGTGTCTCTCGGGACCAGAACCTAAGGAGAGGTGTCGACTCTACCCTCAAGTCGAAATACCGGCCGAGTATATCGAGAGGTGGAACAAAGACATCATGCCAAAGATTAACACGGCGCTTCGCCAATTTTACCGAAAGTACCCAGAGTCGGTGGAAATCTCCCTCGAAGCTATTGGGCCATCACCGACTTCCACCAAGCCCACAGTACTGGTTGTTTGTACCTCTGTGGGCAAGGTGAAGAACATTCTGAACCGCAAGATGTCGGATTTATTTGAAGGTACCACACCCGAGTTCGGCCTCAAGGTATGCAAGGGCAAGGTTATTCGGGCCAGCAAGGGGGAAGTCCCTGCCACCGGAGCGGATGCGAAGCGGAGTATGGGACATAAAGGCCGCCAGGATCCCGATGATGATGAGGACAGCGACGATGAGCCTGCTGCAGTCAACCCCTTTTATCAAGAGCGGCCTCTCAATGGTGCGAGTATTGGCGCTTGGATCGGAGACAGGCACCTGCCTGCCGTGAGTTTCGGCGGACTAGTCATGATCGACGACAGGCCGTACGGCATGACGGTTCACCACATGTTGGATGACCCCGGCTGCAACCAGTCCGCGGAGGAGCCCCAAAGGTCCGTAGCCTACGGTGGCTGGTCAGGAAGCTCCTCCGGCGAGAGCGATGAGGACTATGCCTGCGAATTTTCGGATTCCGACTCTGACTCCGACACCGAGCTTACGAGCGACGACGAGGAAGAGGAAGAAGAGGACGAATCCGACGAAGAGGGTGAGTACACCGAGCCCGGTGACATCCCCGGCATCGAACCTGGCTGCGGCGATGGGTACATCATCACGCAGCCGGCCTTCGATGACGTCGAAGACTGGTTCTTTCCCTCGCCCAAGACCAAGAACGAGGACCACCTCGACAGCTTCAGCCTTGGTGAAATGTACGCCTCGAGCGGCCTGCGGCGCCGACACGAAGGTGGACTGATCCACGAAGTTGACTGGGCGCTCTTCGAGTTCCAGAGCGATAGGCTTCCAAATACCAACTCCTTCCCGCGGTCCGCTGGTGGTGATGGGAGCGCTCCATTGATGCTGCAGCCAACGAATGTCGTGGCTACGGATCTCCTCCCCGGATTAGAAGTGCAGTGTAGCGCGAGGACGAGCGGTGTGCAAACGGGCAAGATCCTCCCGGCGCTCACCAGCATCAAGATCTACGGGCGCAAGTCGATGAGCCACGCATACCAGATCACGAGCACGGCGCGGAACTCGAGCAGCACCTCGGGCCGGCGCCATCCGCTAGGTGTGCCGGGAGATAGCGGCGCGTGGGTCGTCGACAAGAATAACGGGCGGGTGTGCGGACACGTGCTAGCCTACAGCCAAAGGAAACAGGTGGCGTATATCTGTCCCATGGAGATGTTGTTGAACGATATCGCTGAGACATTGGAGGCGGCGGAGGTGAAGCTACCGGGGGGTGAGGCGGTCGTCGCGGGTAAGGCGAAGGATGAGGCTGATTTTGTAAAGATTTCGAGCTTGAAGGTTGATGATGATGACTTTGATGAGGATGAGGATGATGAGGCCGAGTCGGAGGATGAGCGTGAACAGGCGCCGATTCAGAGCGAAAAGGTGAAACGAAGTCGCGCTGCGCTACGAAAAGTGAAGGAGGAGATTGCCGAGAAGAAGAAGAAAAAGGTAACGAGGAGTAGTAATCTGGAGATACCCTACCTATCGGAAAAGGTCGAGGAGAAGAGCGTGGCCGGTGCCCAGGTGCCGTCGGGTGAGCTGCTTGTTTGTATGCAGCCCACGCCGAGAGCTTACGGGAATCGTTTTTTATGACTTGCGGGTGGGGAGAAAGAGGGCTTTGTTCGGTTTAACGAGATGAATGGGATATTGGGACTTGGATAGATTGCCGATTGGCAGGCAGAGTTGTTTTCTTTTGTGGTTTTTTTTATTACTATTGATATCCATCTTTAAGCTATATAATTTGATGTTTTTTTTTATTCGATTTTCTTTTTCTTATTCGTTACATGAAGTCGTCTTCCCAGTCTTCGCCGCGGTTTTGGTTACTTGTAGCCGCGAGCGCGTCTTCGTCGAAGAGATCATCGTACGCGTGCTCCTTTTGCCACTTCTTTTCCTTGTACTCTTGTGCTTTCTTGAGTTCCTCCTTTTTCTAGACGTGGATTCCGTCAGCCAGTTTGGAACATCTCATGATGCAATAGAGAGGGTGATGTGGATGTGAGAGAGATCAAATGATGGAAACAGGTCTCTACTTACCCTCGCCTGCTGAGCAGCCTGATCCTTCCTCCTCAACTCCTTCAACCTCTCATCCTTCTCGGCCTTAAAATCCGGCTTCCTCTCCACCTTTGTCTTATTCAACCGATTCACAATCGGATTCTCCCTCTGCGCAACAAACACCTTCTTGACCTTTTTCTGATCATGGAAGCTCACCTGCCCGACGTCCATGCTCCCGTCCTTCCTCAGGTTCGCCCAGGGCGTGTAGATGACGGTGACGTTGTCCTTCTTGTTGCCCTCGATGGAGTTGGCCTTGGTCAGCTGGGCAAGGTCCGTAAGGAGGGCTTGCGGGAGTGAGTCCCACGTTTGGTGGGATTGCATGCGGAGGTAGACGTGGGCGCTGGAGAGGTTGTCGACGTGGAACCAGACGTCTTCGTCCCAGCCGTATTTTATGAGGTCTTCATCTGTTTGGATGTTAGTCTGCGGATGGGAGGAGGTGAGATGATTGTGAGTTTTTTTCTATACTCTCGAACTTGTCCTTTCCGACGTAGATCTTGGCCGGCGGATCGGTCGCCGTGGAAGTAAAGTAATAGACCATGGCTACGATGTGCTTCCCTTGGAGCTGGGACGAATGCTGCGCTTCTGATGTGAGAATTGGGCGGGGGAGTTGATGATGAAAATCTTGGCGGGGCTAACGCTTAAATCAATGTAATGGCGGGGGAGGGGCAAATGGTAGAGGACGCCTTGATGACTTGGAGCCGCTGAGGCTTTCCCAGCTTCTACGACTTTACAGCCGTGGCGATTGAATTGAGAAGGAATTATTCTTCTCAATGAAGTAATGAGATCGAGAAGCCTGTAATAAGCAATTCATTAATTTCCTGGTTCCCACAACTCAGCTCCCTTCTCACCTCACAGAGCATCGCGAAATCACGTGACTCGGAATTCGTGATGGTCTTGATCGTGGCAGCTCTCTTACATGAAATCCGACGACATCCCCAGAGCAGCATTTCCAAGTTTATCAACAAAATAATAATTAAATAAAAAAAGGAGAGCTTTTAAATTTCCAAGACCGAGGTGGGAGGATATCTCCTGTTTTATCTGAACATATTCATTATCTTCTCGCCCAAAAAATGCAAAAAAGATCGCATGCGCTGCTCTGGTTGGACTTCGAACGAAGCAATTCCCCGCTGGACAGGGAGTTACGAAAAACACTTTTTTCTAGCTTTCTGAGCGCTGCAACTGACCGCTAGGCCAATGACTCGCAGTGTTGGTGCTTGAGCTGCTCGGTTGGACATTCTTGCCATAGACTCATATATAAAGCGTGTGGCCGGGACCGAGTGGTGTCGAGGAAGATGCGGGAGACGCTCTTTTCCTTTAGCTTACATCGTCGAGTTTACCTGAGGCAGAATGGGGCATATGTTTCGAGTGAGTGATGGACTCAACGAGGGACTACAATCGCCCCCAGAACGTGAATGGGAAGTCCTTTGATCCTTAGCAAAACTATCCCGTTGTCCTCCAACTCCAAACTCCAACTACTCTTCAATCTTCGGGATAATGTCTCTCCCATCACTCCTACTCGGCCTCTCCCTCTCCCTCCTTAACTTCCGGCTCCGGGTCCCACGCGTCCGGCCCTACAAACTGCTTTGGCCAAATATTCATCGCCGTCTTCAACCCCTCCTTCACCGGCAACCCTGCATGCCTCGTCCTCTCATCCCCCGTCCCGTTCGCGAATAGGTTAACCCAAAACAGCGCATTCCCCACAATGGGCTTAAACGCCAACCCGCCCTTCTCGTGTTCCCTCCACGGAAAAGCATCCGGCGCCGCCCTGTGCTGCGGCGACACGGCGCTCAGGTGCGGGAAGTAGGTCTCACCCTCCGTGCAGTCGGCTTCGAGGATGGCGAAGAAGCTCGTGGGGCGATTCCATTTCCTGTCTCGATTGTCGTCTCGCTGCGTTCGTTGCGGGGAGGGGTACCAGTCGTAGTGTAGATCGAACTTTTGGCCCGGTTTATACCGGACTAGTTGCGGTGAGCCGATCTCGTCTTTGCCGGGGGAGAGCATGGTTCCCATGAACTCGTTGGCGCGGTCGAGCACGCATTTGACGGCGTCGACGTCGACGGGGAGTCCCGCGCTCCAGGACGTTCTCGACGTATCCTTCGCCGTGCGTCCGTACTTCGTCGTCATGGAAGGTTTGAAGAGCCCGTCAGCGGCGTCGAGAAGGGCCCCGATTTCGCGCTTGCTGATGAAGTCGTGGATGTAAATCACCAGCGGGTCCATGGAAACGATTTGCGTCCGATATGGCTGGACGAGGCATTCAAATGGCAGCGCCGTCGCGTTTTCGCTCGTTGGAGGTGAAGAGGAGGAGGAGAGGTCGCTCGTGCTGCAGCCGGGCCAGTAGCTTTGGAGGTTGCGGTGGAAGGAGTCGAGGTTGAGAGTGGCGACGTCACGGAGCTGGGGGGACGTTACGGCGAGGATGGCGATGGCGACGCCAGCGGAGAAGCTGGTTGCCTTGCTAATCCAGCTGGCCATTTTCGTTGAGGATTTATTCGCGAGGCTCTTGTGGTTGGATTTCAATTCGGACATGCTCGCAGCTTTGCACCCTTATATGGATGGCGAAGCAAGACCTGGGCTGCAAAGAGATCAATCCGGACCCTGCACTAGAATGTAGAATCGGCAGAAGGGTGCGCGCGCGAACGCTCTGTCCGGAGAAGATGAAAAGCACCGGGTTCTGCTTCAATCGCCATCCATGGCAGGTTATCAATCAGTTAAATCAAGGTAAAGGTAGGTCTGGTTTGCATAATATCAAAGAGTCTCGCCATTCAATGCCAGCCTGGCTGGATCCAACCCAAGTTCCGGCCCGCTCCCCGTTTCCAAATTTTCAGATCAGTCGATAATCGCACCTCTCATCGTCTGCGCTTGATTAATATCCTGGACCTGCCCACCTTGTGCAGATCGCCCTGTGGTAATGTGTCATGTAGAATAAATTGGATGGTCCCGGTTGTAAACCGGAGCATGTCTTCGCTGTGTTTTGAACATTGAACATTATCCGGACTCACCACCCTCCTGGTTTCCTTTCGTTCGCCTTAATCAATGTGCTTCCGCGGCCCTTTTCGGCGCCATCGGAAATGTGTGTACCATTTGCTGATGGTTGACTGCGCCCATACATGGGTGAGGGGAACAGCATGGATGGCTATGTTCTGGTTTGCTCATGATACCTCGTTCTAAGTCACTGGGATGGTCATCGATGGCAGGATATGAGTAGTGGAAGTTCATTGCGCCGTTGATGGGATGTGCCAAGTCTCTTGGCTTTTCACGAGGGTTTCGCCGAATGGAATCTTTGGTACAACTGTGGTATTTGCTATGGCTACCCTGTTTAAGAACATTCCCTCCGCATAATATACAGACAGAAAATAAAAGCAAACCTCTTGACGGATCATTCCTATCCAAGCACAACTGAAAAGAAACCTCGACAAAGGTAGTATACTTTTGGCAAACGGAACCGCAAGTCTCGATTCGCCCCCATAATGTAGAGTATTACTCTTCCTGCCGCTGCCGGGAGGTTTTATGCGTCCGTGTTTCACCCACACCTCCTCTGAAGATATCAATGAACGCATGTTACCGCCCTCGCTCCACCTTGCACCGGTCCCAACGCCGTAATCGCAAGTTGTGGCGCCCAAATAACCCATTCAAAAATACCACAAAAAAAAGTAAAGCGGTCGATTTCCCGGGAACTGCCCAAGGGGAGGCCGTGTCTTCTATTGCACGGAAGTACTAATAGCAGTATAACAACGCTGCCAGGCCAGACGCACAGGCCAAGAGGTCTTAAACAAGACTCTGTCTCTGTCGTTTGCGACCGCTGACTGTCTGAGGGTGTAGCTTCTCGCTCCTTTCGCGCTTGAGCTTCTCGTCCAATACGCGAGCTGTGATTCAAGAAATGCATTAGCCTACGTTCCCACTCCAAACAAGCTCGGCAACGAGGCCGGCGCTCTAAGAAAAGACAACAAAAAACTCACTGAGAACGTCGTATCCAAACTGGGGAAACTCCAAACACAACGCCTTGAACTCGTCCTCCGCCTCCGACCGCAACGTATGCGACCTCGTCGCCCAAAAATTCGCAATCGGCGCCCGTATAGCCGCGTCGTCCGCGCTCGTATACCCGTACACGTACCTCGCGTACGCGATCTCCCCCTTGGCCGTCGAGTTGACGCAGTGGATCTTGGACGTCGCCAGCTGTTTGAGAGTCGGGACGTCGAACTTGTCTGCGAGCGTGTAGACCCGCGCGTGCCGGAGGAGTTGGCTGCCGTCGTCGTCTACCGCGGGGAGGGATGGGTCTTCTTCTAAGGTGCGTTGACCAGGGATTTTCTTGGGGAAGTAGTCGCCTGTGTAGAGGAATTCGAGGAAGGAGCCTATCGCATCGACGTTTTCGTCCGCGAGGTCGATCTGGCGGGGCTGGTGGGTGGGAGAAGATTAGCATGTGAGCTCAAGCTCGGGTTGGAGCAGCGGCTCGTTCGGGAGTGGGGGAACGGGCATTGCGCATTGGAAGTCCAAGATTGCAAAAACAGAGGGGGGAAGGAGGGAAAGCATAGGTACGTACGATATCATCCTCAGTGAACCCGGCGCACGCCTGCCTGAAGAAAGGGCTCTGGACTAGCAGAGCCTGATGCGCCGTCAAAATCGCCCCGTTCCCGTCGCTACCAACCAGCAGCGTGACCACGGGACTCATCAAATAGCTCACGAACGACGTCCTCTTCTCCGTCAGAGCTTCGTTGGCAAAAGGGAGCTCTCCTGAGGTGGTCGCGTTGCCGACCCCGCCAACCTCGGTGCTCTCGTGGATTTCGACCATTTCGGTGTCGCCCCCCATCAAAGCTACCTCATGGGCGGGCGTGGAGTCGAATTCTTCGGACATGGTTTGCGACGGGTACTGGGTACAAAAAAATGGGAAGATAGGATGCGCCGCAACGGAGGTTCGAATGCCGGGGCTTCGAAGGGTTCGATTAAAGGGTTTAGTTACGAGTCACTTTTTTGGTGTGGTGAACCAGGGTGGTATAAGCGTAAATGCGGAAAGCGGAAACGAGAGGCGCAGGCGGTTAGAAATTGTACAAATTAGGAAATTAATGTAAGGAACTGCATTGGTAGGAAAGAAAAATCCCAGTTGCGACGCGCCTGGTTGATACGATCTGTATCGATTGAGAAAAACGATTGGAGATGGGAGCTAGACAGGAAATAGGAAAGAGGTGATGGTGGGGAGGAGCTTTGGAAGAGCTTCGGTCGCAAGCAAGGTTTCAAGTCGAACGACAGCTCCCACGGCCGGTACCAGGGGCAACGACAAGTGCGGACGGCTATGCAGCTGACACCAGCTGGCAATCCTTGTGGGAAGAAGGAGGTCCAACGATCGCTCTCAAGATGGGGAGGGGGGACATGACGCAGTATTAGTATCATTGGATATCCGTTGACATATATTGAGCAAGTGAGCATTTGTCTAGTAAAACTCCCCTGCATTATCGTCGGCTAGAGCCCCATCGCCTCAACAGCTCCTCCCTCTTCTCACTCCTCACCTTCACATTCTTAGGATCCACCCCATCCACCTGCCTCCTCAACTTCTCAATCTCCTCCTCCAACACCCCAATCGACGCCTCAATCTCCTCATCCACAAGCCTCACCTTCCCGAACGGACTATCAGCAAGTACACAATCCCTCAGCAGCGTAACAGCCCTCTTCGCATCCGCAAGATGCATCGCCGCACCCTCCTCGAACCCCTGCTGCGCGCTCGCCGCAACGTCATCCGCCTTGGCGCTCCTCTCAGCGAGCACGTTCGACAGCGCGGCTACCTGCTCTCGGGCACCAGCATGGTCGGGTAGCGAGACGGAGAGCATGTGCATGAGGGTCTCGATGGGCTGCTCGTCCGTGATGGTGGTGGAGGAGCGCCGGCGGCGGAGGACTAGACCGCCTGTGTTGGAGCGCGAGCGCGTGCGTACTGGGGAGCCGTGGTTGGAGGATTTGCGACGGCGGCGGCGGGTGGGGGAGCGGTTTTCTTCGTTGCGCTTGCGGGGTTTGGGGACGGGGTTGCTTAGTTCTGCTTTTGCTGTGCTTATGACTATTGCAGTGGCTGCCTGGTGGGATCGGTAGGTCTCGACGCGGGATAAGAGGGCGTTTGTGTGGTCTAGCAGGTAATCGAGGCAACCTTGGATCTAAAGATAGAGAGTTAGAAGATTAGAACACGTAGGAGGCAGCGGGGGAGGAGCGTACGTAGTCTACAGCGATCGACGCATGGTCGAGAGCCTGGGTAGTCTTGGCTGTAATATTTCGCATTGCGGGACGCATGTACTGATTTTCGACAGACATTTGGACAACAGGGAGGATCTCCGAGTAGAGGGAATCGAGTTCCTCTTGGAGAGCTTTGACGTCTTCCCTTGATGCGGAGCCGGCGTCATCTTGACTGCCAGAAGCATTTGACAGTGCCTCGAGATACGTCCGATCTAGCTTACAGCGCATCATTTCGACCGTGCACTTTATTAGTCTAAAAAGACATCGTTAGTGTTGGTCCCCAAATTTATGGCGATATTGGTGAGAGAGAAACATACTTCATGCACGTTTCCTGGAGTTTATCAACGGCGTCGTCATTGCGATCGTCCGTCAGGGTGAACTCATTGCTCAGCTTCTCCAGACTCCGGAGTAGCTTGTCGTCTGACTCCAGCAAGGCGGAGATATTCTGCTCGAAATCTTGATTCTTCGTATGATCCTGCTCCTCGAGCTCGGAGATCTTGATTTCAAGGGACCTCGATAGTTCCTCAACCTGAACCACAAGCGTTAATCGCCGGTCTAGCACTTGCGCATGTATCAAAATAAGAGGTCGCGATACTCACGTGGACCTTGGCATTTCGAATCTCCAAGGCAAGCTTGTGCATACGCACAGCATCAAAGTCAGACCTCGCAACCTCGTCCTTGATCCTCGATTTGGCAAATCTCGCCAAGGCCTCCTGCTGCTGTCGTAGCGTTTCGGTTTGCTTCGATATCGCAGCCGTCGAGCGATTCAATTCATCGATTGCCTGGCGAACCTCCGACTCGTCTCGATACGGCAGGCCAACCGTGCTCGAGTCCTTGGAGGCGGCGTTAAAGCGGTCGACAAACCCAGACTTTGTCAAGGCCGAATATCTATATGGGTATGAATAGGTTAGCGGTATTATTTCATCTCAATCTAATCGGAAAAGGGGGGAACATAAAACCAAACAACTAATACGGAAAGGGAAACGGATGACCTACAGAGCGAGTTCGTCTGGTGTGAGGAGAGTTTCATGACCGAGGTGAACGGCTGCCCATTCGGAGAAGGAGGTGTCACCATCCTGGTAGTTGAAGGCAGCTTTCAGCTCAGATCGACCAATATCGATACCATAATCCTTCAAGATGCGGCTGACAGTGTCCACGTCCATGGTTTCTCCTCCAACTTGTGTTGGTACCGGCTCGTCCATGGGTAAAGGGAGGCAAAGTTGAGGGGACTACAACGGTTGGATACCGAGGGTGGGCGAGCGTGGTGAGAGCGGCCCTTACACAAGGTTTCAAAACAGGTTTAAAATGCAAAATAAACACAGAGGAGGCAACAGCTAAAGCTGTAGGGTGGAAGTCGGCCCCGATGGTATTGTTCAGTCAGGAGGGATTGCGCGGCCCGAATGTGCAGTACGTTTGACAACAGCAGCTGGAGCTAGAAGCCGCTTTTAAACATCGGCCTCAGTACTAGTTCGACGTGTGTGATGACAGCACAAAACATGTAACATCCCAGGGGTAGAGGAGTGGGTGTGACGGACGGGATTGCACCTTGTGCTCCGAGGACAGGATGAACTAGAGCGATAGAGCTTTTCTACCAATGCCTTGCTGAGACCAAATCACAAGGTGGCGTCGTCCCGTATTGTGGTTGAAGAAATGTTGTGTAAAGTGTCACGAACCCAGGCAGGGGCCAGGTGAACCACAGTTGGAGGCCTTCTCTTTGAGTCAGTTCAAGGGAAGAGAGAGCGGAGAGGTCGGTAAGAGGTGCCGAGCCGTGAGACAAGAAGCGGATCTAGTGTGGCTCTTGTGAAGCTCTCGGGTTCGTATTATGGATTGTTCCAAGTCTTGTGCCAATGGAATTGGACGAGCAGATCCGTGGGTTTGGTCGTGAAGAATCGTGATGGCAATGAATGGGATGATTGAATTGGGCTTGGGATTTGACAGAAACAAGAGTGGTGAGAGAGCTCGGTCATACCAACTGTCACCAGCTGGTTCAACGATGAACACCAGCATCACTGATGCAACTTCAGCTTCAAGCTTGCAGTTCTTGTGCAGTTCTTGTTCTTATCGTCAGGCAATGTATCCTACAATTCTGCAGAGTTCCGGCATTCTACGTGCCAATATCTAAATATATATCGTCCTGTTGTCTTGATGTGTACTCTGTCGAGGACGTGGCCAGAGCCCACCACAGTCCGCGTTGTCCCTGCAGCCCGGTCCTTCCTGAAGCGTTTGCATTCATCATAAACCCGTTCCTTGGCTTGGCCGCAGGTACTTCTTCTTCCGAACTTGCTCTCTAGATGTGTAAGGGGCTGGGAATTCTGAAGCTCGGGAACTGTTGTACGAAAGACACCCCATACGCTTGGGAATACAAGTAATTCTACAACTTTAAGCTCCTTACCTCGAAGTTCCTGGCATCTTTCCCAGCAACTTTAATCGTTAAGTCAGCAAAGACGGACAAAAATAGCTTCAAGAACTGACATAATGGGCTCCTACGGTTGTCCACAGAGTCGTATCTGTCCACAAATGCCATCAGCCTTCCGTTCTGCCCTTCCTCAGATTTCCGGAACCTTCATCAGGCCGCTACGAACTGGCTTGAGCATATATCAGATGAAGTCCAAGGTGTACAGACATTGCTTGCGCTCCTATATACCTCTATGGGAGTAGGACTGGGCCTCTTGCGCTTCAGGTATCTCGGACTATGGGACCTAGTTGTCGCCGGTTTGGCTTGGGCAATCCTGCCCCCCTTCTCCTTGTCGTCCCGCCGTCTCGCCGTTTTCCCCGGACCATCTCCACCGGCCACATGCATACCTCCTTCGCTTCGCGTCCACTCTGTTTAGAGCGTGGACATAGCAATGGCTCGGGATACACCATGTGGGAAAGCCTGCCATTGTCCGCCTCGGATCTGTCAATTGGAGCTGGGTAACTCCGGCTCTGACCCTACTGCTCTTCTATTTGTTCTTCCCCCTAGGTTTGAGTAGATAATAGCTATTACATACTTCTTTCTAATACCCAACTTATGTTCGATCCCGCTCACATACAAACAGATATTCTTGGTCATCACTGCCAAGAAGAATGAAATCTTCAACCGATATCTTTGTGACGATCCCTCTTCTTATATGCCTGCTCATTGCTCCAGTTCACAGCGTCATTGGATGCATGTGTATCTCGAACCTTGCGATCGAAATGCCTAGCCCTATGGAGGATCTTTTCATACTGGAGCAATGAACTGTCTGAAGTCTAGCTCCTCTACTTCTTGGAACCCAAACAGACATTTATCCTATTCTTTCATCGAGAGCTGCTAATGAAGGTCGATCAATGAAGGTCTAACTTCCAACCTCTCTGAGACTGGCAAAATGGATGACAGGGGTAATGAACCTTTGGGTCGCTTCCTCGACGTCCTCGGTCAATTGGGTCACCTTCTAAGACAGCTCCTCCGAACCCCTGGTAGCCCCGCCGGTCTCGCCTTGCAAACGCTCTTCCTCTCCAGATACCCTCGCCAGCCGCCTCTGGACATCAGAGACACTCTCGAGTCACCCGCTTGGCGGAAGCAGGCCGTAAGGTTTCTCCTGTTGAGAGTGATATTCATTTCTCCCGTCGTCGTGATGTACTTGGCCTGTGAGGTCGCCGTCTGGGGTCTGACTATTGCATTGAGCCACTTACATGTGGATTATCTGGCCTCGATTTTCGGGATGTTAGCAGTCTTGTGTCTTATGGCAACCCTCCGCAAAGTCTGGCCTCCGATTGATGGTATCTACCACAAGAATATCAAATCTAGGGTGAGCCAACCAATTTCTCCTTACTGTTGTGGAGCAACAAACTATCAGCCTATCATCACGCTCCGGGAATAAAGCATACTGACCGAGTCAACTCCTATTTCTCTCTAGGTCGACTTTATAAATCAGAATCTCGGTCTCGCCTTCCCCATTCCCCTGGTTATGATGAGCGACAAGGAGCGGCTCAGTGGAGCAACTGCAGGTCGAGTCGTTGGAACTTTCTGTGAGTAGAGAGGCATAATCAACTCTTCCTGGCTTCTTGCCACTTCATCCTCTCCACCTCGCCTAGCTATTCCTCGCTTTGTTTTTTCCTGCACTTCTATCATACCCACGACCCCGGTTCTCCGGGATACCACCATGCGTATTCTGGCTTTAATATTGCTTTACTCTATATATATCTAACGGGAAACTTGGTTAGTTGTTACGGGCCTAATCTTTTGGTGTTTAATCTTGCTCCTAACCGCGACAATCCTAGCTGTCGCTTTCCGGCAGCCTTGGCGAAGTGACAGGACAAGACACCTGGGCCAGCCAGAGGATCACGGCCCCATCCCTCTACACCAACTTGGGGCCAGTACAGCTGGGCAGAGCCAAGGAAGCCAGCTCGACAAAGATAGCACGCGACTCGACCTCGCCCGAGGTCGTGGCCTCGTCCTCGTCGACAATGGAGCCGTGAGCCCGGCGGCTAGCGCTCGGCCGACATCACCAAATGAATCAACCACGCCGGACGCCGAGGGACGGACACATCTTTGGTACAGCGTTATGCTGAGCGGGCTCTGCCTACTTGTCATCGGGGTTCCTGTGTCCGTAGCCACAAAGGACGACCGCGTTCTGGACGTCTGCGCTCTCTGGCTAACGTGGATGGTGGCGGTCAAGATGCAATACACGATCAAAACTCTTCGGGCGCCAAAGCTACCGCCAGCCATAGGGTCGGCGCTAGCTACCCTTATCAACCCTGTTCTGGTGTCGGCAGGCATCATGATGTTATATACCCACGCGAAAGCCGGAGCCCAAAGGCGTTCCCTCGACGAAGTTCTCACCATCTTCAGCAGCAGCACAACGCTATCACAGGTCTGGTCCGCGGCCTTGCGTGGGGGAGATTCCAACAGCGATTCGGACAATTGGTTCGGCGCGGGGGACGCTGCTATATCCCTCCTCGAATGCGGAATTATTGTATGGGGTTTCAAGCTCTACGAATGTCGCGGACAACTCTGCAGTCGCAGGGGTCTGGCCGTCGTTCTCATCTCCACCCTCTTGGCGGGCTTAAATGCCATCGTTTCGCTCCTGCTTGCTCGGGCAATCGGGCTTGCTTCGCCCGTGGCTTTGGCATTCGCTTCTCGGAGCTCAACCTTGGCGTTAGCTCGGCCCTCGACAGCTGCATTAGGAGGCAGCATTGCCGTCAACGCCGGGCTCGTGGTAGGCAACGGTATTGTAGGGCAGCTCGTATCTCCCTACATACTCAGTGCATTCCGGGTTCCAGATGAAAGAACGGATATGGAAGACAACGACGGCCCTGGTGACCACAATGTCGATGGCAATGCAGATAAGATAGTTAGCAGGCAGAGGGGCCACCAGGATTCCGCGATTGACGTAGCTGTGGGCACGACGATCGGCATCAACGGCGCGGCGATGGGTGTCTCGTATTTGTACGAGCGTCAGAGTCGAGTAGCTCCGTATGCTGCACTTTCTATGACGGCGTTCGGTGTTGCAACAACGATGTTAGCGGTATTAGGACCATCCAAGGGCCTGCTCAAGACACTTGCGACGGGCGATGTTTGAGAGAAATGCATCAGGGAGATGCCTTGGGGAGCAGTGTTTTGGAGTGTGGGAGTTTCTGACTTTGGATGAGGGCTTATGGATAGACGGGCGGCATAGACACAAAAAGTTTGGCGGTGTTTTGGTATCAGTGAGCTATTGAATGGATTTTCTGCATTGGTAAACCCTAGAGTTGCATGGGCGAGGACCGGTCACAGTCAACGGAGGAAATTTTGTTTTCGTCTGGCATTATACTGTTTTCATTGCTTTTTGTTCTTTCTGGAGCTTTTTACTTGAGAATCAACGGTCATCTGCTCAACTTTGCCGGACTGGCTGTGAGAATCTAGAAACGCTCTTCGAGTAGCAGTTTCGTAGATGGTTAAGTCGATTTTCTCGTTCCGTAAACACGCATTAATTGTTGAACGTACAATCCTAACCCAACCTAAAGATGCGTTCGTTTTAGCAATGATCAAGAACTGAAAAGGGAGAAATGAAGAATACTCGAATGCAGATCCACCTACCTCTCAATCAAATGCAGACCGCTCGCCGTCTCGACAACATCGCTCAGCTCTCCAACGTTAAGGGCGAAGGCCGCATCCTCGAACTCCTTCTGCATGACGCCCCTTCCAAAGATGCCCAAGTCGCCCCATTTATGAGCACTGTTACAGTCCGACTCTTGCTTGGCGAGCTCGCTTAGTGATTTTCCAGCCCGGATCTGGTCGCGGTAGCCTTCGATGATTTCCCTGGCTTGCTCCTTGGTGCGCTCGATACGGGGCTACAGTGGCGGGAAATGTGGTCAGCAATGTGTACTTTGGTTTCGCGATTCGTACAAATGAGGAGATTCGTCGTGAGAAGAGGGGAACACTCACCTCCTTCCAGCTGGAAGGGTTGCGGCTCTCCCTGTGCTTGACCAAAAGGTGCGCAGCCCAGATGCTTCCCTCGGGAACGTGGACGCCTTGGGGCTTGACGTAGCCCCGCGCGTTCGCGCTGTGATGGTTCGCCATGTAGTACTTGAGCTTGTCGGTATCGGTGCCCTCGGGTGGCTCCCAGCGGGAAATGGTTTCTACTGTGTTGAAGTAGTAGGGGAGGTTCTTGCTGTTGCTGTGGCGGACCTCCCAGTTGGGAGGGAGACCGGTCTCAGGCTGGAAGTTATTGTTAGAAGCTGGGTTTCTTTTTTTGTACGATTGTGTGCCATTGCTATCTGGGATCGTTGCGATAGTGACTACACAAGAACATCTTCTTGAAGGGAGACAAAGAGCCGCAGGATTGTATTGATATGAGGTTTGGGAAGGATACTCACTGCAGACATGGTTTTGGTGATTCTTCGAGCCTTGTTGATTTGAGGGAAAGGAATGCACGAATGGGATGGAGGCTCAAAGACGGGAACGCGTATTCGAGGGAAGGCAATTGCTATTCTCAGACTCGAGGAAGTGGTTGTCCAGCCTGTGTTAGATGGCTTCTTGGATGAAAGTTGGAAATGGGGGAGAGATCAATGCGAGACAGAGAGGAGACAACAATGGGAAGTGTGCCTGGTGCCTTGATTCTGGACTCGGCGCGTGGAATCGGGGGAAATGTCGAGGGGGCGGGGTAGTTGTGATGGTGACACCAATTATATCACGTACATTGACCTTTGGTGATTTAGTCCTGAGAATGCGAGATCAATGAGAATCCTGGGGATGGATTCAATGACTGAGTTTTGGCTCCCTAGCAACGACGTGGGGCAGGCAGGGAACGAAAGGAACGAGGTTGAGATGCAGCATTCCAGATGTGTACATGTGTAATCAGTATTCATTACATACAATGTTCAGGTACTGTCCACAATTGCACTATTATTTTCTTGCCTGGAGCTATGGTGGAGTCGTTCTGGGGAATCGGAAGGAGCGAGCCAGGCCAAGAAAAAGACGTTCTGCAGGTCATCACCAGACCACGCTCTCGCCCGTTCAGAAGGAGCCGTCTGCATTCCGCACATGTCGACAGCCTGGAGCGATGAAACATGGTGACGTGGGGGAGGGGTTCTGGAGGAGGCGCTTTTTGGCTGAACCCTGCAGATCCCGGTCCGTCCGTCAGCGCTAGCGGGAGGCATTTGGCATCAACTGCTCTTCCAGCCAGGTCTGCAAAGTACACTACACAACGAGGTACTTGTCGATGAAGAGATGGAGTCGGTGATACCGAGACAACCTGAAAGCAGGCCAATCTGTTCCTGTTCCCAGCTCTCCGGTAATTGAACTATTATTATAACTGACGGGACGGCATATCTTTCTGAGGATAAGATCAACCCGATCCTTTTAAGCTAATTGAGGACGGCTCCCACCCTCAGGGTCACACTTCGTGGAGAAAGGACCTATTCCCCACGGTAAAAACCAGACAATAGATAATATTGCAGATATCTCTCTTATGGCTGGGATTGGTGATCCTAAATTCTGATGTTGTCATAATTATGATTCATCAATCGATCAATCACACACAATTGCCAGCTCGCATCGCATTGAGTTCAAGGATGCAGCTGGGATAATTGCAAATCAGAGCATTCAGCCCAGGTTGTTGCACCAGCCATTTTATGACTAAGCAGTAAACCCAACCAGTGCTTGGTTCTGATCGCAGAGTCAAACCCGTGATCTCAGTGGGATTTGATTCTTTCAGGCGACAACCAAGCGCCACCATCACCACCATCACCGCCGTCGACAAACTCTTCACCAACCCATATTTCCCCACCTATCTGACCCCCCGTCAACCGCAACCATGGCGACTCCAGCTTCTACAACCTCCGACTCCGACAAGAAGGACCTCGAGCAGATCAGCTTCCGCTTCTGCTCCGAATGCTCCAACATGCTGTACCCCAAAGAAGACCCCGAAACCCGTCGTCTCCTCTTCACCTGCCGCACCTGTCAGTACACCGAGGAAGCCCAGTCGACATGTGTCTTCAGGAACATCCTGAACAGCGCCGCCGGTGAGACCGCCGGCGTGACGCAGGATGTGGGCTCCGATCCTACGGTAAGTTCTCTTGAGAACTCCCTGTGCCTCATGTGCGGTCGTCCTGTTTTGTGCGGTCCACATATGGCGGAAGCGGATGCGGAGGGCAACGGCGACAAATCGATATCCGATAGCGTTCTTTTTCTTGATGACCTCGACGAGCCGGACGACTGGGAGCCTGATACGACGGACACTACGGAAGACATAGAGATGAGCGGGTCCGACACGAATCACGCGACGACCGACCAGATGGATGCCCACTAGCCTTTCGTAATCGGTCATGTTTGGATACGGACGCACAGATATGGAGGATCATACTCGGACTCTGGGGATTACACAAATCATCGGGGTTTACGGCTTGCTAACACAACCGGCCGTTTAGCTGCCCCGTGCGACCAAGACGTGTCCTGCCTGTAGGCATGACGAAGCTGTGTTTTTCCAATCCCAACAGCGAAGTGCCGAGACTGGAATGGTAGGTTTTACCTCCGTGCGCCCGAACACCCCTTTTGCTCCTCCAATGGGCTCACATATATCTTTCAGAAACTGTTCTACGTCTGCTGCGAATGTGGTCACATTTTCCAGTAATTCCTAGGGCTACGGTCCTAGCTTTTCCAATATCTACCAATCGAGGCGTCAGAATACGAGTTTGGAAGATGGGCTAGAGAGGTTTTGGCTGAAAAGGGAGAAATGAAGTTACGGATACATATCATGCACGTTGACATTATAACCATGGATGGGACCTTGTTCTGGCGTTGAGGGGATCATTGTTTTCAAGTCTAATATACCATAAATGCATCTGTATCGACATGGTCGCGCTCTTTATATTGTACAATCGTGAACACCCGCCACACCCACCAGCGTACTCCAATCGAGATCTCTCTGCTTCATCGGCCCTGCAAGCGGGTCTGCTTCTCTTTCCGAGAAGCAAAGGTCTCACCCTCCGTATTGATTCGTATAATACACGTCGTTTATCGGTCGAATTTACACCTGCATGGGTGCCATGGAGAGGATCTTGTGCCACTTCTTCTTCCTGAGCTCCGACGCAACCACGCCGTTGATTCTGGTGCCGACGGGATCGCCCGACTTATTGATGAGGACGCAGGCATTGTCGTCGAACTTGACCACGCTTCCGTTTTGCCTCTGCGTCATGTACTTCGTTCGCACGACGACGGCGTGCCGTATGTCGCCTCGCTTGACCTTGTTCGCTGAGGACATTCCTCCCGCATCGGCTGAGCTGCGCTGCTCCTGGACGACGACGACTAATCTGTCTCCTGAGGAAGGCGTTAGAGAGGAACGAAAGATAAAAGCTTATGACTCCGGAGGGGGTTCGCTGGTGGAAGGGCCGTACCGATTCTCGCATGTCGCTTGAGACCGACAACCATGGCGCACTCGACGAGGGCGGCGCCCGAGTTGTCGATGCAGTTAAGCATCGTCTGCAAGCTGGTGTCAGCAACGGCAAAGCTACCAGGGCGGGCATGACTGAATCGGTACCTTCAATTGAATCATCTTGCAAGCTGGGCGCTGCCGCGTAGGATTGTTGGCAACTAGCAATTGGGTAATGCTTGCAGCTCGTTCGACACGACAATGGCAATGAAGTCCAGCACAAAAGATTTTGTCAAAGATCTCCTGTCACCTGTCTGGCGTTGACAGGCTCTTGCCAGCTGACAGAACAATGAGCCAACCCGTCAGGCTACGCCGGCGCTAAACCATCCCTGTCGCACGGTTCCTTCCAAAGCGGGACGTCAGCTCAGTACCCAGGGCAACCGCACTTGCGGCTTCCTGCCACCGGATTTTAGTCTGGGAAGGAGAGATGAAGCGCAATGGACTGGTGTGCTCCTTTTCCATACAGATCCTCTCATCCTCTCAGCTGCAATGACACACACCCCCCTCATTAAACTCTCTTCGCTCCCTTCCATCGACATCTTCTCCCCTTTGTTCTGAATCTATTTGAGCTCAATCTTGTCGCACAGCGAAATCAGTGTCCTGGCAGTATCCAGATCTCCAATTGGACCCGGTTCGCATTTATGACGTCCTCACGATTGGTCTGAAACCCACACGGATCCGCTGTTCTCCCGTCGACGACGACCCCCTTCGAAGCCCTCGAAATCGTGGCTTTCCCCAGATTTGGTCTCACAACTCCCAGACTGGCTCTGTGAGATTTACGCTCTTTTGGCACCTGCGCCGTATTCTCCTGCCATTTTATTGAAGGGATCTATGTCGAATGTTCCCTTCGTCCACTCCTTCTACTCATTTTACGGCGTCTCTGTGTCTTTCGTCCCTTTGTCGTGTGCTTCTCTACGACGGCGCTTAAAATTAGTTAGAACTTTGGAGAGACAGCATTCACTACGTATTTTTTCGGGCTACATCACTCTTTAATTTTTTTTTACCTTCCTGCATAATTCGGACGAGACTCGGAATCCATCATGCCTCCCAAGGCTTCGCTCCCTCCGAAGAAACAAGCGCTCACCTTAGCGCAGATCTCGGCATACGATGACATTCTAACAGATGCGCTGGTTGACCACGTATGATTTTCCCTGACCAGGGGGGCCAATCGTCACTCCGACTGCCAGTTCCACTACCCACTGGTATCACTAACAAATCCCTCTGTTTAGGTGTACTACTGGACGACGATTCCCAAGAATCGTCCTTCTTACCACCCGTCCCGAGGCATTCGAGAGGAGGATGTGGCCAAGATTATTCAGGAGGAGATTGTACTCAACAAGGATGTAGACAAGGCGGAGGAGCGACTACTCAAGACTGATGGACTGCGAAAGTTTTTAATTTCGCTGAAGACCGACAAGGAGAGGGATGACTTTCGCAAACATCTCCGTCGCTATTTGAGTATCTACCTTCCCGACTGCCCTTTCGAAGTCAGCTCGACCAATCGCTATACGATCGTTACCCATGAAGCAAGCATTAATGCCCGACGTCCGATACGAAAGAACGAGACGATCAAGTACTTGACGGGTATTCAGGTCATCATCACCCCGAAGGAAGAAGCCGAGATCTCATTCAGGAAGAAGGATTTCAGCATTGTTGTGAGCTCCCGGAACAAGTGTACAAGCCTATTTATGGGCCCAGCCCGCTTTGCGAATCACGATTGCAATGCCAATGCGAAGTTGAAGACTGCGGGCCAGGCTGGTATGGAAGTTGTGGCTACGAGGGACATTGACGTCGGCGAGGAAATCACTGTGACCTACGGCGACAACTACTTTGGTGAGGGCAATTGCGAGTGTTTGTGCAAGACGTGTGAAGATGCTCGTATCAACGGCTGGGCTTCTGGGGAAGGGGAAGTTCCACTAGCGCAGAGCATCGAACGGGATCCACCACAAGGCTATTCCTTGCGTCGGCGCAGACGGGATGACAGCACCTGCTCGAGATCACGAACTCCGTCACTCACGCCAGATGTACGACCACGAATCTCCAAGACACGCCCCCGAGGTTCGCGGAAGAATGCCTCGGTTGATTCGCCTTCTGACGAGCTAGCCGTAGCTGGGACAAAGCGCCCTTTCGACCCACTGGCCACGCCACCATTTACGCCAGCCAAACGACTAAGGGTGGAGGACGGATCTGCGTTACATCCGGTTCCACTGATCTTGTATGGCCCGATCATGCCAAGCCCTGATGAGTTCACGGACAACTCAGCCCGAAGCAGTCCCGCCCCGAGCACGTCTACCGAATCAACACCACCAACAGACATTTCATCACCTCCCAAATGCAGCCCTTCGGCAGCCCCTGGAGCGGATTCCGTGGGGAAGGCCATGGATGATTGGGGGACGCGGACGAAGAACGAGGATGCTGATGAAGTGCAACGGCAATTACTAGACGAGGCGGCGCCATGTACACCACGGAATGAGAAGAATCACCCGCCGGCTGCGTTGGCGAACGGTGGCCTCACTGGCCTTCGAACGCCATCTAGCGTACCCAGCCGCCCGGCACCCGTCGTATTTGCAGACCGGGAAGAACCGACTCCAAGTGCGACTCGCGGAGAAGTTAACCCTCCCAGTACAGAATCCCCGTCGCCGTCGCCCAACGAGGTTCTAGACCAACAACCAGGAAAGAGGCGCAAGAATCGGCGAGGAGAGTTCCAAAAGGAACCGACCCCTCCCCCACGCAAGCGAATCCCTGGCGATTACACACTCACACCTCTTCTGCTCTCGGAGCCCGAGACCGCCTGGATCCACTGCATGATTTGCAGCATCGCGTTCGTACAACACAACGCTTATTACACGAAAAGTTCGTGTCCACGTTGCGAGCGGCATTCGAAGCTGTACGGCTACATCTGGCCTAAAACAGACAAGGTTAATAGCCGGGACAAGGAAGAGCGCATTCTCGACCACCGAGTGGTTCATCGATTCTTGGATCCTGAGTCGGAGGCTAGGGTGCGGGGGAGGAAGACGCTCGCTTCAGAGAGCCGGTCGGCAATGGGCACACCCGATGCGGAGAGCAGGCTAGAGTCGATGGACGGTGGTCGACCGAGACGTAGTGGTCGCGTTCGCAGGACGGGCTACGTCTGAGCTAGTCGGAGAGGGCTGAAATGAAACAGGCTTACGGAATGAGAGAGCGAGGTATTTGTCTGTCAACTAAGCTCCATGGAAGGCGTCAGGGTGGAGTTATTTTCCCGGCTTGCCTTTGGCAAGGAGCACAGATATTGTATTATTAGGTCGAGGTGAGGCTTGCTTGCATCTTAGTCGCCTTTCCCAGGCAAGGGGGATCCACCAGGCGGAAGGTGGGCGGGTGGTTAATCCAAGGTGTATGTAGCTAGATGAATGAAATATCAATGAAATTATATATAATTCAACCAACGCCGACGCCGGGATGTTGCTCTCAAATCTCAATCCATTTTGCCTTGAAACCCGGAAACACCTTGTCATACTCCAACTTAATCCGGCCGTATTATGAATCCCAAACACCCGATTATAGAGCCTCGGCCAGGCCAAAAACTCCTAAGATAACCTGATACAAGATGCGGATACCTCAACGCCTTTCCAAATTCGACAAAAGAGAGGTGTAGTCGATTCTGTCGATCTCCCGGACCTCCGTTCATCGCTTATTTTTTTTCACTTTCCGATTAACTTTGAATCGCCCCCCGATTGTCTTGTTTCGTTTCCGCTTAACCTCTACTGAAATAACTCCGCGGCGGCACATTAACATGCCTCACATTGCCAAAAACCGGCCTCGGTCTCGGATGCATCCGAACCTCATGAGCCTCCGGCGCCGCCCTCATAACCCTCGCCTGCTGATACCGCGTCCACGGCGACCTCTCGACATACACGGACCCAAAGTCCGTAGTGACGCGATCGGAGGACATGCGCCTGTGATGAGCAAACGGCGGCCCTGCTATGGGGGTACTATGACTCGCGAAGCTGCCGTCGTCATCAGAGTCATCGTCAATGGGCTGGTGCCGTTTCCGCGTGCCGAGACAAGCCCAGGCGACTAGGGCCGCGATGACGAAGATGAAGATGGAGCCGAGGATGGCTCCTATTTCGCCGCTGGTGAGGACGTGTTCGGGTTCGGGCTGGGCGGTGGTTGACTGGGTTGGGAAGGGGGAAGGGGTCGGTTCGGGGGTTTGGTAGGCGGGTTGGAAAGCGGAGGCGGGAGGGCCGCCGAGGGTTACGTAGGTTGTGAAGGTTGTGGAGGAGCGGGTTATTGTTTGGGTGAGGATGATGTCGGGGGCTGGTGTTGGTTGCTGGCGCGGGTATAGGTTGCCCTCGGGGGGTGAAGGGCGGAGGACGCCCATCGGGGAAGTTTGGGGTGTTGATGATGGTGGCTATGTTGTAGATTAGAGCTTGGCTCGAGAAGGGAAAAGATATACGAAAAGAAGGAAAAGAAACTAAGAAGAGCCCGAAGAACTAGAAAGGAATGAAGACCCGAAAATAGAAAATAAAAAATAAAAGTAAAATAAAATAAAGAACTGAAAATGAAAAATGAACGGAGGTGTAGAGCTCGACGAGAGGATCGTGAGATACAGGTGTGACGGATTCTCCGTAGATAAAAGAGGCCAGGAACGAGATGGTGCCGTCGGGGCTGAACGGCACAAAAAAACGCCAGTTCGTCAGGAATGCTGACCTCAAGACCGGAAACGAATAAGATGCTCCGTGACCCTGAGAAGGGGATGAAGATCTTCAAAACACGAAGCAAGGGAGAAATAAGGGATCAGCTCTCGCGATGCCGTACACGACTCAGGTTCCGTTCGGGCTGAGGCTACGAGGGGCTTCGTATATAAGTTTGGTTCGTTTCGTGTGGAGCGTTTAATCTCTCTACTCTGCCATCTTTCTTTGCTTTTATGGTGTTCATGAAACATTCGGACTCGAGGAGGGAGCTCTACATTTTGTACAAAAAAGGTACGGGTTTTGGCCAGCCACACTAGTGGTTTTCTACATGGAGCACTAAATGCAAGGTTTTGAGACATCTCAGTGGAATGGCAGCATGTCCCCATCATCTGACAAGAGGCGAGGACGAAGGGGGAAGGAGAGGGGAGATAAAACAATGGATGGTAAGACGGGTTGGGGAGAGGATGGGGGACCGCGGGACTTCTCTCGTCTCTCCTTGGATGGGTTGGCGCAAGAGGGGGACCGGGTTGGAGGGGTTCATCAGGCAGAGACATCTTGGACTAGACTTCGGAATTTTGGAGCTTGGAATTTGGTCGGGAAGGGCGTTTTTTTGATTCCAATCCTATAGCTTCGATTCGCCATGGCTGGGCACGGCATGGCATGCAAGTGTGGGAAGAGTTAGTGATAGGTTAGGCTTACAACACCCGGTTGGGCAACGCGTGGAGTGTCTACGAAGTATGTCGTCGTCGGCGGAGAATTCTGGAGCTGGCGGAATAAAGAAGATGAGAGGGGCGGCAGAAAAAACTACACAATAAAGAAAAGAGAGTCGCTACCTGAAAGAGGGGCCTTGGCAGACAGACTTGGCTGGGCGCATCAATACTTCGTATGCATCGAAGAGGTTCGTCCAGAACTGGAAGAAGTGAATAATAACTCTGTGCTCCTATCACTTGCAGCTGTACGAGGTAAGCTAAAGTCAACCAATCGAAGGTGTGGTTACTGCGGGAGTGTGGCGGGAGCATGGAATGGAGATGGAGTTGAGGGAATCACACCCTCCATAAGGCTGGGCAGGGATGGGCCAGTGCTCATGTGGTCCCAAGGTCCTGAGCAGACTGCTGCGCCGAATCCGTAGTCCATCCGCGTGGACCGCCGCGTGGACCGCCGCGTGAGACGCCAAGGTGGGTGGGAGGGTGGTATTGGGATTCAGGAGTAGGTTGGGGTGGTGCGAAGCGGAAGTTGGGTGAGTGAATACATTGATGAGAGGCCTACGCAGACTAAAACTTCAATTCATTGTTGCCGGAAATTTTACGGCTTCGGGAAAATCTTGTCCTTGTTAGACAAGATTGGTTGCAGCATCTCAAGACGCCATGTGTGACCATGTTACCAAGGATCACGGACGTCAACGTCATTTTGTACGATGAAGTTTTACAGTTGAAATTATACAGAAATAATAAAAAAAAAAAAAAAAAAACCCGTTTAAAGATGCATTCGGAGCTAAATTCACTGGTAAACTCACTATTAATGTACCCTGTCAAGGAGATGAAGTAGAGAGGGCAAGCGGAGGCTGGTTCTGGTGGGTGAGGGGTATTGTGAGAATCCTGCGTGTTGGGCGTGGGAAAATTATTTGATGCCTTTGCTTCGTCCTCCGACCTAAGGGCCAATATAGTTATAGATATAGTAAACAAAAAAAAAAAGTTAAAACCAATAGAGCGAAAACTTGATTCTCAGGTTGTGGACATGTCTCTTCACCGTTGTGGGAACGGCCATGAATAGTCTCCAGACTGGTTGACAGGACCACCGCCAGTGACTGTTTCCGCAGACCCATCTCGGCTCAAGGAGGTATGGTCCCTCAGGGGCAGGTTGGTGGAGCCTTCTCTCAATAATCGCCTTTGATTGATATTTTATTTTATTTTCCTCAATCGTTGCGCCTGTCAACAGACTGGAAGTGGATAGTCAATGGGGCGAGTATGGATATTCGAAAGAGCGCGAATGCCACCTGGAACCCTCAGAGGTGAGCTGGCAACTCGGCAGGGATAAGACTTGCACAGAACGAGCACCATATATAAAAGGCTGGGGGAATCAGGCTGGCACGGCAGTTCGTAAAGCGGTTCGCAAAACGGGCTGGGCCGAATGCTTCATCGATGACAGTCTAAGAGGAAAACTTGGTCTTACTTACGCCGGCTTAGCTCCTGCAAAACATCAGCGGACAGAGTGGGTATGTTGTCAAATTTTGTGACCAACGTGGGACTGGACCTCAATACTTTTTGTACATTAATCTCTTTTTAGCGACCCAGTGCTTCATGTATACCGAGGGAGGTTAGACAGGCTGAAACAACCAATAGTTCGTTTCCTGGAGAGGGAAAAACCAGAAAGCTGTGTGGCCGACTGATCATAGCTCACGACAGAAGACTATGTCTACGCTCCAAGGTCGGATGTTATATGTATGGTGAGAGGCAACGAATCGAGAGAAATATTGCCGCTCAGCTCCGTCGGGCTCGTGGATCCAAAAGAAAGAAATCGTCGGATCACGGTGGGGCACGTTTGCATGTCGGACATGAAATTCACCTTCTGCTTAGTAGACGCAGGTATTGATGCGAAGCAGACGCGGGCTCGTCATTGACCTCTAGCATACAATATCCAACTCGGTTATCCCAAAGCTAATGAAATCCAATTTTAGTGAGCGCTAATGACCCTTTCTAGCTCATCAGGATCCTTGACAACAGTCGTTAGATTTTGTGATCCAGTCGCCGTGATGATTAGGTTGTCCTCGATTCTGTTTTCCGATTATGTTAGCTTCTTAACTGTTCTGATGGACGGCAACGAGCGAAGGAAACGAGTGGCACTTACCGGACACCACCAACATCCCAATACCTCTCCAGCACGGACTCGTCGATAAATTGCGAGTGCGTGGGGTCTTTCAAATAAGGCTCGATGATAAAGTTGCAGAAGTAAATCTACCCAATGTTAGTCCAGCTCGCAATCTCAAGGCAAGTTTTGTTGAGAGCACATACCCCTGGCTCTACCGTGATGACAGATCCCGCCGGAAGTCGCCCACGAACACGGAGATACCTAAACATGGTATCCTTGTCGGCATAGTTCGCGTTCCCGCCCGTATCGTGGGTATCCATGCCTAGGTAGTGGCCCAGGCCGTGAGGGAAGAAGGCGACGCTGGTCCTGTTCTGAAGGATCGTCTCCTTGGTTCCCTTGAGGATGCCGAGAGCGAGGAGACCCTCGACGGCGACTTCATGGGCACGGTAGTGCACGTCGTCCCAGAGGACGCCGTCCTTCAGCATGGCGATCGACTCCTCTTGCATCCTCAATACGATCTCGTAGATTTCGCGGGACTCCTTGGAGAATTTTCCAGAGATGGGGAACGTCCGCGTCTACGATGCGACATCAATGTTAGCCACAAACGGACAGAGGGAAGAGGAGCGGGTTATGGACTTGGACAGATCCTGCTCAACATACAATATCAGAGGCGTAGCAGTTCCACTCGGCGCCAGCGTCCAGAAGAAGATTGAGCTTCCCCTTCAACGGCATATCGTTTCGCACATAGTGAAGAGTCGCGGCTGCCCTCCCAGAGGCAACAATGGAGCTATACGCCTGATTCTTCGCTCCCTGAGAAACACTAGCTCCCAAAAACACCGCCTCAAGCTCCTGCTCGTTCTGGGCGTTCCTGACCCTCTCCAGCACGAGCCTGTGAGCCACGGCGGAAATATTATTGGCCTTTTGCATGAGCGCAAGCTCGTAGTCGTCCTTAACGACACGGCAGACCTCAATGGCCTCCCTCAGAAGGCTAAAGTTCTTCTCATCGAAACCGAGGAAGGTGATGTGCTCCGAGACCTGGTCGGCGATGGCGTAGACGGTGCTCTTGGAGGCTTCGCAGCTGCCTAGGTGGGCGAGGGTGGGGTTTACGTCCGTGGTGAACTTGACCTCGTCGACGTCGTATTGCTCGAGAGCTTCGGCGGGGCTCAGAGGGAGGCCGGACCAGATGACGTCTTCGGGATCGATGGGCGGGATGAAGAGGGTGGATTTGTCGGCGGCAATGTCGTAAACGAAGTAGCAGTTCTCGAGTTGGCAGCCGGTCAGGTAATAGAAGAAGCGACGCTGGCTGGAAAGTTTTTGGTCAATATGCTAGTAAGTCAAGGAGAGAGCATCAAGAAATGATATTAGTGTAATAGCATGGCCGCCAGCCTTCTAAATCTCGAATGTAGGCAACCAATCCAGGACGAAAATTAAAGTGCTTACCGAAATGGCTCTGGTGCGTCGCTATCCTCCAGCAGCTTCATCATACGACCCTCGACGTACAGCACACCGGTGGCATCAGGGACCTTGCCACGAATGTGATCGACTACGCGTCGGGCATGGGCCTTGGCAGGGTACTTGCCCTGGAGGATAGTCTCGACGGACATGGTGGATTGGGAGCGCTGAAAGCTCTTGCGAAGCTGGAACGAGGGGCGCGGTGGTGGTCGAGGTCGAGAGGAAGTAACAGAAAGATGGCGGGGTCTGACGACTGGCGCAAAGCAGGTGACCGGAGCAGCGTTAAGGGACGCGATGGAAGGGCGGCAGGCTATGGATCGGCTAGTCGAGAAGACGATTCGACTCGCTGTTGGGAAGTTGATGATGCAGGTCATGGGAACCAGCCAGAAATTTGGCGGGGGGTGGGCGGGATGGACGTGCGGTTACGAAAAGAGGTTGAAGGGAGAGGTAGAGGTGGGTGGAGAGCGGGGAGCTAAAGCACGGTGATGGCTTGCATCGGGATGGGCGGCCAGTGCCGGTGACGTTTTTGTGTGGTGGTGATGGGTTTCCGCGTCGATGGTACTTGCCAAAAGCGCAAACGCCAGGTGGGGCCGTTATCATCAACAATTTGAATCCAAGGACCTTTTGTCGCTGTTCCAATCCTGATGTCATTCAAGTTGCTATTTATCCCATGTTGCTTTGTCAGCGTGCACATGTTGGAATTGCTCTAGTCGTTCAAATTTGGAGACCATCAAAAATACAATCCAAATTGGCTTTGTCTTTTGGGAAGTCCCAGCCATGCCAGCTATGGCATCTGCTACCAGGCGGGTCCTCTGGAGCGACCTCGTCTCGATTCTCCAGCATGTCTTCAACGCCTGCTGAAGCCTCACGGCGGCCTCGGTCTCTCCCCAGTCCCCTCGTGGCCCGGTCCTGGTCGCCCAATAGAACCGTCGCACTGCAGATATTAGCTGCACAAGACGATTACTTTGCCTCCAGGCGGTTAAGCCTAATGAGGAGCATTGCTGGTGATGTGGACATCCTGGTCGCCCATCTCAGGCCATCGTGATATTACCCCGTCACTGGTCAGGATTTTCTGGAGCCTAGTTGGACATCGCGTCTTGTAGGGAGGTGCCATCGCTAGTGCCGTCGTGCAGCCACCGGAATGCAGCAAACGTGTAATTGTGTGCTCCTGACAGAGCATCTGCCCAATTGATACAGATTTCCCGATGCAGTTGGCTCTGAGTGTGTTAGGCCAAGTTCGCTTCGTCGGTTCAAATCCAAAGCATGTGGCTTGGTCACAATGCTAGTCATTCTTGGTCTTCGATTAATAGATTCTTTTTTTTTTTTTTTTTTTTTTTTTTTTTTTTTTTTTTTTTTTTTTTCTCTTTTTTTTTTCCCGTTTTTGGTTCTGCTGCCGTTGGTCCCAGACCCCCGTGGTCTCCGCTCCCATTACCCTGTTTTCATGGCTGCCTGCAGGTCCGGCCATTGACTTCGCCATTCCGGCCTTGATTGACCATTGATCAATTGATCAAATGCCTTGCCCGCCACGTCTCGGGGCTTCTATTAAGCGCCTTTGCAGGCCAGTCAGTGTCCAATATCCTGACGACATTCAATCAATACACATCCGGACGGGGTTAACACCCACCCCTCCCTTTTTCAACTTCCACCAGCGAAAGCCACTCTGCATACGCCATTCAGGGCATGGTCGGTTCCGTACAACCTCACCTTTGAGACCTGGCCAAGGCCGGGCCTCTGGAATAGACGATTCATGTGTCGGTCGTTATGGGCCTCTCGGTCCGCAGCATGAATGGGTGTACACGCCACAGCATCGTAGACTTTTTTCTCTTGTCCTTTTGTGACGCATCTTCCTCTCTTTTGTTGGTTGCCTGACGCGCACAACTCGACTGTTTGAAATGCTATTAGTGAATGCCTGATTCTGCCACTTTTCTGGGTTAATTGACGCTGGTGAGGTCTCCCATTCCGACAGACTGGGACCACGAGTTCTTTAAAAGGACCTCCCTTTCCAGGATTGTGATCGAACAGGGTGAGCTTCTACCTCTCCATGCCCTCATAAAAGTATCATCGACTTCAAACTCCCTGCCCTCCTTCAGCCATTTGTCACTTCCCATTCCTTCCATCATCAGAGTGAGAGGGACAGCACCTGCAACACCAACAAGAATGAGCAATTCCCCTGGACCCACGAATTCCCCTCCTTGGAGCGGCTCGTCTAGCATCGTCTCCCTCCTTTCCGGCAGAAATACCCCATTGGGTCAGTTCATAGATCGCCCCTTCGCCACGAGGTTGTTGCAGACCCTCAAATGGATTTTCAGGTTGAAAAACATCGACATCCCGACTTGGACCGTTGCAATCGCCCTCCTCGGCACCCTCCCCAACACCCTTGTCCGCCTCCAGACCGTCCTCTACAACATCTACTGGTGGATAGCCAAATACTTCATCTCATCGGTCTCCATCGCCGGCAAAGACCAATTGAGCGAGGACGTGATCAACTGGGTGGCTCATAACGTGCTCCCCAAACGCTCCGTCCGGGCGATGAGCGCAAAGACCGAAAACGCCAAGTCCGAATATTGGAGCCCCACTAGCGAGAGGAACGACATTCGCCACGAGAACCGAGTTCCAGTCCAGTACCTCCCGTCGTTTGGTACCATCTGGTTCGTCCACGACGGCAGTCTTTTCTTGGTGAGCTGCCAGCCGATGGAGTTCAGGATCGGGTCTCGGAAACAACTCCTCCCTGTTGGGACTTCTGTCGCCCCTGAGGGCCACGAGCCGCTTCTGATCATGCGTCTGGGAAGATCTATGAAGCCGCTGAAGCAGTTTCTCGACACCTGTCGTGACTTTGCGGAAGAGCAGCGCAGGGATTATGTGACTATTCGAACGTCCAAGAAGAGCGTATACTCTGAGGCGTGCTGGAGCTCCGTTATCTTGAGGCCGGTGCGACCCATGGAGACGATTCACTTTGACGAGGAGGTGAAGAAGCGGCTTTTGCGGGACATCTCGCACTATCTAGAACCATCTACGAGACAGTACTACGTTAAGAGAGGGATCCCTTACCGTCGAGGATATCTCTTGCATGGGCCTCCCGGAACTGGCAAGACGTCACTTTCACTAGCACTAGCAAGCTACTTTAAGATTGACTTATATCTGTGCCACCTTCCAAGCGTGAGAGATGATGGGGCTCTCGAGGACCAATTCGCAAAATTGCCTCCCAAGTGCGTCATCTTGCTCGAGGATATAGATGCCGTGGGTGTGCAGCGGCGTCGTGGACTTGGCGGAGAAGAAGAGAGTGATTCCGAAAACTCTGATGATGGCCAACCCCTCCGCCGAGCAAAGAAGAAGTCAAAATTTAACTACTCGTCCCACAACCCAGGGTGTTCCCTCGCTGGCCTCCTCAATGTCTTGGACGGCGTCGCGTCCCAAGAGGGCCGTATCGTTCTAATGACTTCCAACTTTGCCGATAGGCTCGACAAGGCCCTCGTTCGACCTGGTCGGATCGACCATATGATTTTCCTCGGATACATATCGCGCATCAGCGCGGAGAAGATGTTCCTGAGGATGTACGCGCCTTCCGAGACGGAAAGTGGCGACCACGGAATGCGTGAGACGAAGACGAAGCATAGCTTTGAGGAACTCGAGAAGTTCGCCTCTGAATTCAGTGCTCAGATCCCGGAGGGGAAATTCACACCCGCCCAAATTCAAGGGTTTCTCCTCGGCCGCAAACGGGAGCCCGACGTTGCCGTGGCGGAGATTGGGGACTGGGTGAGGGAGGAGATCAGGCTCGTGGAGGAGGCCGAGGCTCTTGCTCGGGAAAGGGCGGAAAGGAAGCAGCAGAGGAAAGAGAAGCGGAGAGAGGCGAAGGAGCAACTCGTTGCACCCCATGACCAGATGCTCGCTAGATCTACAAGGGTTGAGGTGAATGGGGTCGAGGTGAATGACGCTCACAAGGGCAACCCTATCAAGAATGCTATCGTCAATGGAAACGGTTGCATAATAGTTAAGGAGCGGAAGGCGAGCCCCAATCAGGAGGCTGACGGGAAGAAAGAGGAGATTGCCGAGGACAAGGCTCGCCTGGAAGACGCTGAGAAGGAGGGCGGGATTGGGGAAGAATAAAGACGAAAAGGCAATACATAGAACAAGATTGCCAGTACACGAGTTAATATATATTGGGGAGCCAGCAGTCCCAGTCTATCGCTAGTTTTTGTCTATCAGTCGTGTACTTTTGAAGTGATGTCATATTTAGTGTATGTCTTGGGAGCCTACGCCCCTTAGGGGAGAGAATAAAAGGGGTCTCTGCTCCGAGATCGACGTTTGATTAAAGTTGGCGAAAGGAAGTATAGTCTGTTGCCTCGACGGGCTGGCAGCGCTCCCCTCTGAAAAGGAAATAAATATGGCAGTTCCCTGATTCAAGCCCACATAAAAGGGCGACTCGGACGAAGACAGGGATCTATCTATAGTGCTCAACGGGGGAATGACCCCATACAAGGCTATTATTCGAAGTGGCCCCTTACTTCTGGAGTGGCTGCGCAAGAAAATGATCGCGTCCCGAGCATCGGTGGGATGTCTACAAGTTGGTGAAATACGTTAAACTTTCGATGATTCGCAAGGGGAACCTGAGTAGTCCTACTAGTTATGATAACGGGTATTCAATAGCACACCATATACGTCAGTCATATAGTCGGGATTGTGTGTTTGGCTCTGTCTACTAGATCGCTGTCCGATCGGCGTGACTAGATGATTCTGGCTAGTTCCTCCCGCATCTTCTCTGATTCTTCGGCGCCATTCGTAGGTAAGGTTGAGTTCGTACAGAGGCTGATAAAGATGTACTTATCACCTCTCTGTCTGAGGATGCAGGGTTCGCTCACGCCTCGAATCGTACACAATTTGTCCCCCACTTTCAGTCGTGTCGGCCGCATGGGGTAAATGAGGTGCGCATCCTGCGTAACCGCCATCCCACTGCTTGACATATGTTCCAGCGCCATCAGGAGTCCGAAGAGCTTCGAGTCGGAAATCCGTTGATTGAAGTCGAGCGTCGGGTATTCTGCCTTGGACGCCTGAACGAGCTTCTCCACAGCAGCCCAGCCGTCGGAGCCCATCTTTCTTTTCCAAAATACCGACCAAGTGTTTGCGCAGTGCTGCGGGGCTATGCCAGACCCGTTCTCTAATTCAGAGAGAACTTGATGTTCAAAAGCCGCAAACACTTTACCTAGAGTGGGTACGAGGACAGACACGCTTTCGTGGAGCTCGAAATTATAAGTACTACCTGGTATACTCGGGATGGCAACTGAGACGATGTGCTGAACGACGACAATTCGTAGTTCGAGACCGGTCAAGTCGGAGGAAACTGCAACGTCTTGACGATCGTTCGTGGTCTTTGGCATTGCGACTGGAGGCATCCTCACGAAGTTAGGTACCCAACTTGGTACATTTGCCATCCTCTCTCTCGACGACAGGAAAAAATCTAGAGCTTCGGAGCCTAGAGCTGAGAGCAAGAAAGCTGATGTCATGTGGTAGATGGAAGACGCTGATAGTGCATAATTCGGTTGAAGCTCGTTCGGAAGATGGTTTGTAGCCAGCATGCCGAGCAGAGAATATATCATATCTCGGGGATCCGTAAGGTTGACGCCTGGGCATGCAACGGTCAGAAGGCGAAGAAGTCGGACCGCAATCTCGCGGCTACATGGACCAGGTTTGTTGGCCCCATCATCGCCCAGGAACGTCGAATAAAGCAGTCGGGCGCGCAGTACGCGTTCGCCATACTGGATGCTGTGCATGGTATTGGTCAAGCTGAATGGACGGAATTTCGAGAGCACCTCACAGCATAACGGTGAAATAAATATGAAAGTGTTGAAATTGATGGAGCGAAACCCAAACCATAACTGAATCCGGCGGCGCGATGTTGGCAGCACAACTTCTTGTAGAATCCAGGCGCGAGAGAACCACGGTATTCGAAGAAATCTAGACAGGTTCTGAATGGCTTCATTATTCGACCGGAGAAACTCGGGACTGCATAGATAACGCACCATGCTCTCCGTTGGGGATTCGTCCGAGGTCGACTCGAGAATTTGCCCCCAGTGACTTGTGAGGTCATCAACGACTGAAAAGGCGTCACTGGCGTTGACATCAGGTTCGGTCTCCTTGCTTCCGGCCCAAACGTAAACCAAGCGAGTTGATTTATAGATATCCCCCATCAAGGCAACTTGCCAATTGCGCTCCGCGATATTCTGTTGGTTTATGCATAGAGCATCAATCCAAATACTGAGATACATTTGGCTCGAGTCGGGTATTTGAAGATCCGGAGAGTTTCCATCATCCAAAATTTGGTGAGTCGTCTCCCGGGTCTCTGGAGTGAGGAAGTCTGATCCAAGCTCCCCATTTTGGATATCCCTCAGAAAGTTGGTTAGGATGAACGATCTTACGGCTGGTTCATCCTCGACACACCGATAAAAACTCTCGAAAAGTAGGTGGAGAGTAGCCTGGTTGACAGGTGGCGAGTCCTTGGGGCGGGCATTTGCTATCTCATTCAGGATTGATTGCATGTGCCGTAAGAAAAACTCCAAGTTCCTGGTGACATGATAGTCCTGACCGTTCAGTACAATCGGACTAGTATTGCCCGGATCTCCCCAGGTATACGACAGCGCTGCAAAAGTGGGATTTGAGCTCAGAGAAACATGTTCGAGCTCGCATCGGATGGTGTCCTCGAACTTCCCCGGAAAGAGTTTGACGAGCCGAATTTGCTTTGGATCGGACTCTGACAGTGGTCGATGCGGCGACTGGCCATTGAACCCGTCCATGATGAAATACGGAGTCCGGCAAGCACCTGTGAATCCTTTTTGGAGCCTCTTCGGGAGCGATTTAGGCTGCTGCGAGACAATAAATAGACTTCTTACGCTGTAGCACTCTGTTGGAGGCCTCACTCTCTGCAATTCGAGGCGATACGAAGCCACAATATAACATTAATGTATAGGGCAATCCATACACTGGTCACGTTCTTCTGTTATGCCGCTCGTCAGGTGTGTGCACCATTAATACTCCGTCTAGTAGAGTCAGTCCCATCCTCTTCGGAGCGTGGCTGAGTTGTTTTGCGATGGATCTCAGCCTGGGGCCTTAACAATAGCAGCCTATTGTTGGGTTCATCACAGGAGGAGTCCTATTTTTGGGGCTTAGGCGGCCTAAAACTTGATTAATTAATGTACGGCATTATGAAGTGTTGCCTAGTTGACCTGAGGTAGATTTGACTACTTTTCTCTGCCTGTCCTGGGAGGAGTTAGATGAGCCGTCAAAGGCAATTGGAACGCGTAAAGCAACGTGATATTTTTATGCCGTATTCTAAAGAGCGGGTGTGCAGAGAAATATACCCAAGAATTCAAGAACGAGTTCGGCCCCAGGAACCTTGGTCCTAAATGATATAAGGCCTTCTAGATGTGAAGCCACCTACCACCTCACCTTATGCGAAGGCTAGGCGACGATCGCGGCTACCGGCTTGAAGCAACCGCAATTGGATGCGGTAATGACCCATGCTCAGTGAATAAGTTGAATTTCGTGTCTCATTCTACATGTTCGTCATCTAATACTAGAGCACCGTCGATTTTGGGCAAGACGCCGGCAGACTTGACTGTCTTTGCTCTTGCGCCATCTAACTCTTGGTCACAGCCTATATCCTACGCTTGGAATAGCATTGGGGGTCCCTATAAGTGCGTATAATGCTTCAACGGGACGACTAGGGGCTGTGAATATCGACACAACGGCGTTACAGAAGGGCTTTACCTCTGTAAATCTTACGTCGATGAGGTCTCGTGGAAGCCATGTCGTCCGGACAGGCTTACCGAGTTCGCACCTGTGAGTGATACTGTCTCGAATCTTGACCTGGAACAGGGCTCGACGGGAACTTGAGGCAAAAGAAATAGTGACTCTGTCATTAGAATGATAGTTGATGATGATAACAGGCTACCAACATGCTCGATAGCACGAAATGAGGTTTGGTTATGGCCAACCAGTCCCCTCGGCCCTTCCTCAACCCGCCTCCTCACCGAGAGACTCGCTCCTTCCTTGCCCAGATCCCAAAATTTCCCCGCGATATAAGATAGAATACGGCAGTGAAATGTCACCGAAGCCAGCTGACGCAGTCGGCTGGCCACAGTAGCCGTTGCCTCCCCGCCGGGAGGGCTTGGGTTCGAGTCCTACCACGTCCAAGTTCCTTTAAGGACAGCGGCTGCTCGGTTGCCAGGGATCGAATAAAGAAATATCCCGGCCAATGGAGATCCCCATCTGGTGGCCCAGGGCCCCGGTGGTCCAATCGGGAGGCGCAACCCTACGGGTAGGGAGGGGAGGGCCTGCAATTAATTAGTTATTTTTTTTTTAATTTCTTTTTATTGGAACTATGGCTTTAAGATTTAGGAGGCCTGCTTCGGGGAAAAGTTGGCTTTGACGCCGCTCATCATGGCCATGAAATAAACGGGCATCTTATCCTCTTGAGGAACGTCTACTCTAATGTCGAACTCGTTAAAGAGAGCCACGATGACCTTGGTGACTACTAGCTCGGCGAGCTGCCTTCCGGGGCATGTCCGCGAACCGCCTCCATAGATCAAATTATATTTTTCCATGTCCCTGATGTTATCCCTTTCCAGCCAGCGCATGGGGAGAAACTCGTCGGCATCTGGGCCGAAGATATCCGCGTTTCTGTGCAGGGAAGTCGGACAACAGCCAACCGTCGTCCCCGGAGGAAAGTAATAACCGTGGACATTGAGACCCTGCACGGGGACCTTGCGTGGGAGAGACATGCCGATGACGGGGAACAGGCGTTGAGCCTCTTTTATGCTTGCTTGAACGTAGGTGAGGTCGGTTCTGGCGTCGTACCGTCGAGGGTTTTCCGCGCTTCTGATCTCCTCGACAACACGGCGCAGGCTATCGGGATTTGAGCAGACCATTGAAATGACCGAAGTCAAGGTGGATGTCATGGTTTCGTGTCCTGCTCCAAAATTGGTAACCGCCATTCGCTTCAGATACTCTTCGTTAAATTCAGGTCGCGACTCATGAAGGCTGATGAGATCGGCCAAGAGATCCTGATGAGTCCTCGCAGATTCGCCTTTCGCGACGCGTGCTAGTCTTCGTTTTGTTTGTCTGTGAACTCCCTATATGATTATATCTTAGTGGAAGCTTGAAGTAATGGAATTTTTCGACTCACTGTGAAGAAGGGCTTGAAGTTCTTAGGCGCCTGGTAGGTAATCCCCCAGCAGACAGCAAACGCTCTCCCAACCGATTTCCAAAGGCATTCGAGAAGGACGATAAGTGGAAAGAGCCCGAAAACGCTTTTCTTCCTCCATCCGAGATAACTATGAGCACCGGAGCCACCATCCGACTTCTGTTTCAACAGACCAGGTGACCAGGAGAGGACTACTGCACCGAGACATTCGACAGTGATAATGTGCATCCATTCCTTGAGGTCGACTGGGGCGCTGCCTAGCGACCGAATCTGGGCAATGCTCTTGTCGATTACGCCGTCGATGGCTGCCTCGTAGCGCTTCAGATTGGTGATGTTATATAGTGGACCTATCAGGCGCCTCTGCATGCGATACCGCTTGAGGTCACGCTCAGAGAGCAGGTCCAAACTATCGGGGAAACTGGGTTCCAGGTACCGGTTCACCTGCGGTCTGGTCAAGGCGGTTGCCACTGGAGAGGCTATGTTAGAAGCTTATTCATATCTCGGACTCGAGGTGGAGTGCCTCACGGTAGAAATCCGATTTTTCAAAGTTACTTCCTGGGCCTGTGTGATTTGTGTAAGTGGATCGAAGCACACGCAGACGTTGCAAAGGAGCACAATGGCGTACTGTAAATACATTTGAAGGCCTCTACCGAATCAAACCAAACCTCATTTGGCCCAATCCTCACGACAGGCCCATACCGTTGATGCAGAGTCTTGCCCAACTCACGCATCCGGCCATTTCGGGCGTGGTATGCGTACTAAAAATTGGTCAGTGCCGCCAGTCGTGGGCCTGGGATCCGGGCAAGAGGGTGCAAGTAGAGCCGATGAAGGCAATGCCCGACCAGAAGAGGAGCACCGGCATACAGACAGCCGAGTACGAGAGCGCTGGCGGTGCGCTCGAGAAGTAATAGAAAATTAGACATGCTCCCATCGTGCCTGAAGGATTGATTTGCAGAGAAATTTGGTGAAGTGTGAGGATGGAGTTGCAAATTGTTGGCTCGCTGATGCGGCTGACTAATATATCCATTAATGCTTTATTGCATAAAGAGTATAGAGGATGAATCGGGGCATGATGGACAACAATGCTCTGTAGGTAGCATTGGTCAAGGTGAAGGATATTTGTTGCCCTTCGTTTTTCTGGCCATTTCTCATTCTATTTACTTTGGCGATTTCAGCTTCTGGTCCAAATATATCGCCAGTGTGGTGACTCCGCCTCGGGTGGTCGAGTTTGACCTTAAAGGCAAAACCTCCTCCAACCTAACGAAATCGTCTGATGTCCTCCTGCAAGAGAAACCACCCAATGAAAGCGGATGTAGAGGTGGTCACATAAAAGACCACCCGCATTACGAGACCTCCACCTCAGATGACAGTCAGGCAGCTGTGCATTGTGCATCGAGATGAGGCTGGTGTGCCACAGAAATGATAGGCTGTGGACCGCCGAGCTTGAATGGCATTAGAACGTATGCAGGAGAGCTTCACATAATTGCCCAAGATAGGGTGGTGTGTCTGCATAATCTTCGCACTTAGCTACGGCAGGCCAACGCGCAAGAAACTTGCTAAAGGTAAAAGCAAAGACTGGACGAGCGGGGGAATGAGGTGGCGCGTTCCATAATGTTAAGAGAACCTTGAGCCGCCGCCCTAGCTCTCCTCCGATCATCCTTTTCATTCACACGCATGCAGTTTCAGCACTCGCCAATCTGATGGAACCTGACGTAGAGTTGCGAAGCTTACTATCCAGGTATGATATCTCGCTTGACTTCCAACTCACTCCACTAACCTTGAGGTGAATTAGGCTCTACGAGTCCTCAGAATATTCGGATCTCACCATAGTGGGCCAGGACCAGACGTACAATGTCCACAAATGCATAGTCCTTCCGAGGTGTTCGCTGCCAATACCTCGGAAGGGATGGGGGAAGAGTGTGAGGACTCGCAGACCATCTACTATTTAGAAGCCACTTGACAATTGTTGTAGCTAACGTTGGCTTTGCAGAGCAGAATCAGCCTGATTCACGATGACCCCATCGCCGTTCGACTCATGGTCCACTACTTTTATCATCTAAACTATCCACATGTCACACGGGAAGAAATAAATGATGTGGCAAGAAGAATCTCTGAGAATCCCGTTGGGTTTGAAACGCGAGGGAGCGTTGAACTTAGTCCCACTAGTGATAAGGTATTGTGGTATGAAAATGGGACGGAGGAGGTAGCCTTTCTGAGCCCAGGAGATGTAGGGCAGAGTAAGGAAGAGAGGCTGGAGTTCGAGACAAAATCAGAGGAGGTGGCTGAGAATGGATGGGGTGGTAGAAGAATGAAGAAAGAGTCCATCCAAATGGAAGGAGAGGAGGGGGCTCCCCGGGATGTCGTAGCGAATACGGAAGCAATCGGGGAGGCCATTGAGCTAAAAACCCCGTTGCTGGCGGAGACACATATTATTACCACGAAAAAGGAGAAAAAGGTTAAGAAGGTTAAGAAGGTCAAAACTTCGAAAATGGGCAAGGTTTCAGACGCGTCTGTCAAGGTTTTAGAGGAGCCTGCCCTGGAATTTGCCGTCGAAAAGCCGCCGTTCGACTCTGAGCCTGCAGCAGAGAGAGAGCCTGAAGAAGTGGTGGATCCATGGTCCTTTTGGGGAAGCAAGAAAAGGAAACCTTCGATTCGGGGCGGGTTCGAGCCAGATCCGGAGCCAGAGCCGCCGCAACCAAAGAAAGAGTTGGAGGAGATGGAGGATGCGTGGTCCGCCGCGAGCAAGAAGACGACGAAGGAGAAGAAGGCATCGATTTGGGGCCTTGAACCCGAGTTTGAGCCAGCGCCAGCACCACCGCCACCGCCTGAGCCTGAGCCCGAGCCTGAGCTGGCACGAGAGGAAGAGCCACCGCAGGTGGAAGAGTGGGATTGGTTGACCACGACTTCGAAGAAGAAGAAGAAGGAGAAGAAGGAGAAGAAGAAGAAGAAGGAGAAGATCTGGGACACGGAGCCTGAACTTCAGCCGGCGCCGGAGCCGGAGCCAGAATTAGAGAAGGAAGCAGAGGCGGCACCTGCAGAGGTGGTGCAGGTAGTGGAGGATCTGTTGGCCACTACAAGCTGCCCGGAGAAAAAGAAGAGCTCGCCGATTTGGGATATCCCGAAGCCAGGACCCGTTGCAGAAGAAATCCTCGAGACTAATCTTCTCGTCCACGCCAATGTCTACAACCTCGCCGTCAAGTATAGTGTCCCTGGGCTAAAGGTTCTTGCCGGGACGAAATTTGAAGAGGCCGCACCCCGAGCAGTTGAAAGCTCTGAATTCCTCGAAGTGGCAGAGAAGGTATACACAATGTCGCTGGACGGAGATAGAAAGCTCCGAGATGAGATCGTCCGTACTATTCTCGCGAAGCCAGCTGTGATGGGAAAGAAGGATATGCAAGATGTGCTTCGGAGGACGGGAGAGCTCTCTTTGGATATTCTGTTGAAAGACAAGGGTTTTAGTAGAGAGGTTTAATTTGCCTGGACGTTTCAGAGAGAAGTTGTGAGTAGATTGTTCAAAGAGAGAATTGATATTTATTACTCTCCTCTATGGTCACACCAATTAGAGTCTGGACTCCTTGAAAAGTTAAGAGGGCTTGACAAGAGAGAGCGGCCGGCCTTCGTCATCAAAAGGCAGATGACCCTCCATATACACCGAGAAATTTTAAGAATAGGTCTTGGGGTTTGGTTACATGGGGGCTTTTTTTTTTTTTTTTTTCCTTTTTCATTTTTAGTTCCTATTCCCTTCCCTTTAGCTTCATTCTCGTTTCGGCAGGGTACCTGGGCGGAGCGCTCTCCCACCAGGAGGGAAAGCCGAGCTCGTCCTGCCTAATCTTCATTTTCGAGTTGGTTTGCGGCCAAAGCTGCCACAATGAAACCAAAACTCTCAAGATGCGCCCGGTTACGCCATTATACAGGACCATACTCTTGCACGGTCATCATGTCATTCTGGGGATCCAACTTCCCTTCCATAGGGCACACTTCGCCGCTGCCATGGCAGACATAGTGCAGCCATCCACGAGGTATCTCAGCGATACTGATATAGAATTCATCGGGAGTTGCCGATATGAGAATCTGTGAAGCAGGGATAGCGTCGGAATGAGGCACTTTGTGGGCAATATTCCCCAATTTTGTTGGCAGACGCCAGGGCAGCAATCCCAGCGGTCTCCTACCTCCGCACCTATTCAAGGTTATCCGCGGTAAAGGCCGGCTTGGGGTCTGCCTTGACTTTGAAAACAATCAATAGTGGGTTGTCACGCGAATGCGAACGTCTTGATTTGAGATACCCATCAACACAGGCCGTAATTTTGAAGTTCGGTGGGTCGGATTGCCATCCTCCAATGGTAAAACTCACCTGGTGCGTTAACGCCACGAAACCCGAGTTTGGCCCTATCACTAGACACGATGTGCGGGGATCCACTAGGCAAGCCAACATGGAGGCTAGGAGGCCCTCAGTGGACCTGGATGTTTGGTGAGGATCGTCCTGAGGGTCTCGACCAGCTAGGGGGCTTTCGCCCTCTAATTTTACGAAATCTAGATGGATGAGACCCGTAGGATTCACAGCGGTGCTGGGGAGCTTGACACTCCGTATCCATTGGTGGCATTCAGGGGCAATCGCAGCAAAGTTGGCCCAGGCATTAGAGAAGGGGCCGAGATACTGAGCGGGGGGCTCAGTAAGATGACTATCTAGAACCCTTTCTGGCTCAGCTATCCAATCGACGAGACGCAAAAGTAGCTGAACGGGTGATTGTTCTCCAGGCCATTGGGAGACTCAGTTTAATGGACTGCAGTGGAAAAGCTATCCCTCGGCGTTGGGTCTGTGTTGGATTCCGCCGTTGCTATCTGGCTTGCTCTCCCCTGACTCGGGCCGTTTGCTCTTAGTTGAACGGCATTCTCCAGCACTGACAAGTCATGGTGCTGGGAGATTTGACCAATTCATCTCATAGTGGTCGACGTGCAAGGTGCGGTCAGCGGGCTTCGGCTTCCGGAGGATAGCGCGAAGGAAATAATAGGATCATGGGGAGAAATTGGAGGCTGGCAATGGCAAATCGTTCGGATCCGAGTTGATTTCAGAAAGTCGTTTGTTGGAAAGGCTTAATTCTTCGACAGCCTCGTACCAGAGTTAGGGGTTTCGAAATTCAGAGATTCGGAGATTCTGCGCGATTTTGTGGAAATGGCCGGATCGCAACCCTCACAACAGCGGCTGATTGTGTACCATTATCACGTCGATGTAATATCCGCCTCGAGTGAACCAATTTCTACAAATTCAAGTAGATTCAGTACGAGAGCCAGTCCCACAGGTCTGTCGCTTAAATACCCTGGGAAGAGGAGGCTATACACCCCCAGCTCCTGTCAGATATTCTTTCCTGACTCGGCAAGGACACTATTACATCCACATCCCGAAGGTGACCTTGCTTCCTGTGAACATTTCCTTCCCTTAACTTTGCCCGAAGTTGTCGGCGGTGGCTATGGCAAAGCTCACCCATTCTCACCTAATTCGCACCATTGGGCCTATTGTTTCCAAGGTAGCCTGCTTAGGTAATTCCTCCTATCTCCTCCAACGTCTAAGTAAATGTCGGTGTGGCATCTATATAGATACAGTATAAAGATATTGTTTATTAGTCTAGATAATGACAAGCACAAAGCGTAGGGACAGCCAATAGTATCGGGATCCCCAGGAAACAGCTGTCCGCCTGCCGCATCATACTACCGTTGACTAGAGAGGAACCTTGGTGTCTGGAA